TGTATCCATAGCCTATCGCACTGTTTAAAATGAACTTAGGGGCCATGGTGCTCACGGGAAAGCCCGGAGCGCGATAACGCCACCTGCCGGGGCGAACAAGGACGCGCCTATTCGATCCAGTCAACGATTATTTTTTATTGATTATTTACTGTATAGCCTTTTTAAACCAATGTAGACGTCATAGTGCTCGCAGGGTAGCCCAGGGCGCTTCGGGTCGCACAAAGTTTCATGGCTCTCGGATAAACGGTGTCGAACCGCATTCTATTTTTGTATACACTGTATATGGTGAAAAATCACACCCTCCCGGGTCGCCGCTCTTACAAAATTATAATTGATTATTATTTTTTTGCAAAACCCTTCCCATTTTTTTTTTTTGTAGTTTATAATTTTGTAGTTTTGCCTTTTAAATGTATTTAAATTACATAATTTAGATTCAAAGAAAGTCATTAATTGCGCAGTTTTCAATTAACATCTGTCTAAAATTGTATATTTTGTTTGACCTACTGTAGCCGTACTAAAAAGTACTGATCTTGTATTCAATAATTAGGAAAAATATGTCAGTGTTAGTTTTCTTTTCAGGTTATTTTTTTTGCGATATACAATCCCTTTAAAATGGTGATGTCTTATCCTGATTATCGAAAGCGCCTTGCTACTCTTGAAGAAAAGATGTTCGATGCTAACTCTGCTATAAATATAGACGGGTTATTGGTAAGTTAGCTTTTACAGTATGCTATCATATTTTATTACTTTCAACTAACCAAAGCACACACATTAAATGTATATATCATGTTACTGGTATCTATTGTTTTTCTACTTTAGGATGGTATCACAGCATTAGTATATGATTTGGACTTTCCTGCATTTAAAAAGATAAAAAATGTTACAAATTTTATGGAGCGATGTAGGTAACTTAAACAAATAAACTAACTATTCTATTATCTATGTGATTTTACAGTTTTCGCCATTTTATACCTTCCTACTTTATGAAATACGGAATATAAAGAGAATGTTGAAACCGTGCAAACAATCGAGATTTTAAGAACTGTTGACGTTTTTTTTTTACCTTACAGAGGAAGCAAAGAAGTTTTTAAAGCTTGCCCGACTGTGTATGTATGTAAAAATGATTTCTAGACAACGGTTTCAGTTAGAATGATGAAATTTCATATATGAATAGATATTAAGTTTACAGATCCTTCTCAGTTTTTAGAGATTTCCAATAACCGGAAGTGGTATCTACTCAACTTCCTTTTTCTCAAACACCAATATCTTGAGTACAAGTTAAATAGATGAAATTTCACATACAAGAATGCGCAGGCGTCTATCGACTTTTGCACTTTTTCTGATAACCGGACATGGTAGTTTACTCTATTTTCCCGTGAACATGATAATTTGAATACAGTTTCGGTTAGGTTGACTGTTTGATATATATGGATAAGATTTTATATTTGAATTACTTTCAATTTCTAAGCCAACTCTGATACCCGGAAGTGGTAGCCTACTTTACTCTATTTCTGGTTTCTAAAATACCAATAACTTGAGTTCCGTTTCAGTTAACTGAACAAGATTTTTTTTTACATACTCATACTCTTGATTCCTCTAAATAGTGAGTAATTCCCCTTGACCGTAACTAGTGCTTTACGCTATTTCCAATTTTTCAATATAAAAAACCATAAGAATTAGATTTTTATAACATTAAGTGCGCGATTGTGGGGTATTTTCCTCTCCGATTTCTTAATATACTTCAGAATTTCAGAATTTTATCTCATATTCTTATAAAGCATTTTCTCAGAAATTTTAACTTCTCTCTAAAACAAAACACCCTTTATAACAGTAATTAATTTCTACCAATGATGTATTAAACGACGCATGACCTCAAATTCTGACCACACTTCGACTATACGTGTTATAATAACAGATGAATTATCCACCTGAAAATAAAAACATACTAGAGGGTATATTGATTAACGTCCAAAAGAGCGATGTAAAACACCCCTCGTCGACCATCGTACGTGGCTTCGGAGGAAGCCACGGTTTTGTCATCGATTGTAGTATTTCGATGTAGCAGTGGTGTATGGCGCTATTTAAAACGAATGTAGGAGCAATAATGCTAACGGAGAAGATATTTAAGAAATTATAAAAAATTCGACTTAAATGTTAAATGATAATTTTGGTCGAGGCGACCTATTGTCGAAGATTTAATTTTTCAAAAACTGTTTTGGGTAACCACTTTATGATTATTTGCTTTTGTTTTGTTTTAATGTTAAAATTATTATGATGCATACTTTAACATTATTTTGCAGATAGGGAATTTGTTGATCTTATTAAAATCTCACGAATGAATGCATCTGACTTTGAAGTTCTTAAGGTTATAGGGAAAGGTGCATTTGGTGAAGTCCAACTGGTAAGTACTCAGAAATACTAAACTACTCCTGTTTAATCAAAAATGAAGCCCCAGAATTCGTTGTTCGTCGTTTTTATCTTTATAAGAACCTCCCTCCCCTCTACTGTCCACCACCTCTGGCACAGAAAAATGTTAGAATTATGTGTGTACAAAACAATATTAAACACATTCATATTGTTTAATAGTACAAATTCTATAACAGCATATAGATGTATTAGAGCTGATGATAATTTAGAAATAACACTGAGTAACTTTTTAATATTGAAAGTTGAAAATGATGAATTGAACTGTTCAGTATCTCTAGCAGTGAGGTATCCGGGAGGAGGACATGGGGAGCGACCTGCTGGTATTTTGAGAACAGTGGCGCCTTTTCCCAATAATAGATTAATGAAACAGATCAGTAAATGATGGATTAAAAAATAATGAAGCTGTAATTGCTAGCAAATACAACAAGTGCATATTCTTTTTGTGTACCGGAAGTGTGCATAAATTAAAGCATACTCGCAATATAATCGCATGAATATCCAATGGCTGAATACGGAATCCATAGAAGACACTATTTAAAAACCGTTCAAAAATGTGTTGGAAGGGATCCTTTCCAACACAATAAAGATTACATGTCAACCGCTTATGTGCCATTCAGGCTATTGAATCCGATTTCAGCATGCCTCTCTTTTTGGTTGTCCTTCCATAACCTTTGTCCAACCAAGAACAAACTGTAAGGGCAGTTTAATACTCCCCCCCCCCCCCCCAATACATATTTAAGTCAGAAATTTTGATTTTTCAGCATCTATTGTTTCTGAAACTACATTCAATTCTGAACATTTCTGTATGATAATTTTGCCTAATTACATATTGCTAGTAATTTTTATATTTTTTAAATTAATAAGAGTAATGACGTAATTCACCAATGTTAAGCAACATTAAAAACTAACTAAAATAGAAGTTCTTGTTGTTGAGTAAGAGGCTCCAGATGCAATTTATGTAACTGGGAGGTTTTAAAAATGACCTTTTTGTGGAGTTTTCGTTTTTCGTGGTTTTTTCCAAATTTAGTATAATTTTCACTATTTAGCGTTTTTCTCAAAATGTTACTTTTTAACAAAATCGTACCAATTAAATCACTATAACTCGAAAACTACTTGAGATATTAGCTGAAATTTTGCAAATATGTTCACTAAACACTGCTTTTAAAGCTACGTCTACTCCCTACTTTTTTGACATTTTTTAGGTCTCACATTTTTTTTAAATTGCTAAAACAAATTTTTATTATTTTCTAATTGTTTTAGTTCATCATTTTTGTATTTGTTTATATTACACTATGTTAAAGATTTGTGTTGTTCTGACAAACAAAAGTTTTGTTATTGTGATTTCAATGAGAGCTAATTGACCACTTGTTGACCAGTAGTTGCTTGTTTTGACCAGTTGACAAAAATTTAAATCCAAGTGGTCAACTAACACAAGTCAATAAAACAATCTACAAGTGGTCAAATGGTCAATAAATGGAAAAAAATTATTATTTTAACCGTTAATAAAAAATGTAAAACAACTCGTCAACAAGTGGTCAGTTGGTCAACTGGTCAACAAATGTATACAATTATTATTTTAACCTTTAATAAAACAATGTAGAACAACTGGTCAACTGATCAAAATAAGCAACTACTGGTCAACAAGTGGTCAAGTGGTCAAAAAACAATCACCTACTGGTCAAAACAATCAACAGGTTGTAAAAAAAACAATAAAAAACGGGTTAAAAAGCAACTGGTGGTCAAATATTAATCAATAACTGATCAAAACAATCAACAGGTGGTAAAAATAATCAACAGGTCTCTCCTCCACCTCCACCTCCTTACTAGGACTCAAATGTGTCAAGTGGTCAAAAATCAATCACTTACTGGTCAAAACAATTAACAGGAAGTCAAAAAACAGGAAAAAATCAACAGGTGGTAAAAAAACAATAAAAAACGGGTTAAAAAATCAACAGGTGGTTAAACATCAGTCAATAACTGGTCAAAACAATCAACAAGTGGTCAAACAACAGGTCCCTCCTCATCCCTCCTCCTTCTCAATACTAATCAAATGTGACCTAATATACTACTAACGTCAAATGTGATGATTAGAATCATTGTTCTATTTATTTTTATCGGCCTAAATATGTTTTTGTATTGCTGAGGAGACGTGCTCCATACAATCTCAAAACCTGTATTATATCTGCTTGAAAAAGAAATTTACAATCATCAGCTATGTTTGTGAATATTTACAACAACATGGGGTTTAAAACAATAAGGTGTAATTAAGGTTATGTAGCTTGCAACGAAATTGTGTTAACCATGATATGATCTTAGCAACGCGCGAAAACAAAAGTCACTCCTAAACAAACAGGAAACGGATGTATTTTTTTTATTTAATGTAAGCCCTGGCAGGGGTGTGACTATACTACTTCCCTAGGCTTATATGAATAAACTATAAGGTCAGCGCAAGCCTGGTCGAACCCAGACTGGTTAAAATCCTAACCTTAGTCTTAACTATAATAAAACAAAAAAGCTAAAAACGTATAAAATGTATTTTACAAAAAAAAAATGGAACCAAAAGTCAAAAGGAGATGTCAATTAAAAAAAAGATTAATAGTTACAAAACAAAACAGACTATACAAAACCATACAAACATCTAACCCAATAAACAAAACACCCAGCCAAGTAGCAAATGTAACCTTAATGGAAAGGGGGATGAGAAAAGAAAACATGAATATAATGCATGGAAAGTATATACATACATATATACAAATGTTTAAATACTTCTCACTACTAAGGATAACTAAATTAAGCTTCGAGTAAAATACTGATCCCTACTACTAACACTACTTCTAAAATACTAAATTCAATTCTTATACACACTTAATTAACCACAGTCTTACCAAGAACACCATGGTACCCAACAGGGTTAAGTGAGCCATATGTGTATAACATTTAAACTTAGCAAATTAAAAATAACGTGCGACAACTACAGTAAAGTCAACTTATTATACACAAAAGAAATCAGCCCGAAGCCATTGACCTACAACATCAACATACACCTAATAATCTTGGCAAGCATAAAGCAAACACACCCCACTGAGGCCACAATAAAGACAGACAAAGCAGGTGTTACTAAACATAATGACGTTGAAACAAACATCACACACATTAATTTTAACCCACAAAAATAATACAGCATAAACATAATCAAGTCAAATGCTATTAAAACACACAGATGTTCACACCAGTTTAGGAAACCCACCTAAACATCCAACTAAACCACGTGGCCTAAAATTACAACACCACCAAGCATTCAGAAAATACATAACTAAATTTGAAAACATTAAAAAAAACACCATGTGTACCAGAATTGCCGATGTCTACTACCTCGTTTTAGCCGAAAAAAAAATAAAACGAGAAGCACAAAGGCAACGCTTTTCATATCCCAAACATAAAAAAAAAAATAATAAAAATAATAATACCTCCTTGCACGTGGTGCGCAAAGAGCCCACTGTGGAACCGATCCGCTCTGATCAGATCTACATTCTGGCTATGGGGTAAAAGTCGGCCCTATATACAGTTGATTGACCGGAAGTGAAACACCGTAGCCGCTGTCCAGTTGAACATTCGCCCACAGATTCGCACACAATAACATAATACAAATAATACATTCACCAGCTCACATTAATATGAAAATAAATGGGGGTTAATAGCCTCTTCTGCGTTTGTTGCTCTGTCAATAATAGATCAACGTGTTCCTTTACACATCTTGCTTTACTACAACCGCATGTTTATCATAATATAGTTACTGGTCGGGAGGCGTTGATTTTTTTAAATTAATTATTACATTTAATATTGTGTTTCTGTAATTTTAGGTCCGACATACAAATACAAAAGCAATTTTTGCAATGAAGTTGTTAAGCAAATATGAAATGGTGAGTATTTGATTAAATAAAAAAGAATTTTAAGCCACCAATTTAGTTCACCAGCAGTTGATTTTTTTTTACTTTCTCGTATATGAAGTATAGAGAAAGTAGGCATATTGTAATCGTAAAAAAAAGAGATTTTTACAAATCTCGACGTTTTACACCTCCCTGAGTCGGAAAAAAATAGTTTTGCAATTTTATCTGTATGTCTGTGTGTGTATATGTGGGTGCACCTCTAAAACAGCCCTTGACAAATCGGCCCCGTCAAAACGGCCCCGTCAAAATAGCTCTGTAAAAAAGGCCCCGACTTATTGGGTCCCGTCAAATGCGCTCCCGTCATACTGACTTGCGACAAATAGGCTGCCGACAAATGGGCTCCCGGCATTTAGGCTCCCGACAAATAGGCTCAGGACATATTGGCTCCCGACAAAGCGGCTCCCGACATATTGGCACCCTACATAAGGTCTACGAAATATTGGCTACCGACAAAAAGGCTCCACACATTTTGGCTTCCGACAAAATGTCTCCAGACATATTGGCGCCAGACAGATGAATCGTATGACCACTATTGGCATAAAAGAAACCATTTTGCCCTACCTCCAATACCACTATAACCTCTTTTAAATGCCTGAATGAAATTGGTTTTTATGAACCAACATCAATTTTCAAACAAATCGAGCCCTTAACAGCTAAATTCCATCGATTCTAAAATTTTGAAAATGTTTCATTTACAATAGTAAAGATCTCTTGCTTAAAAGCTAGCACAGAAGAATAAATGTATGCTATACATGATGTTTACTGAATAACGGCATTTTGTTTTGATAACCTACAAGCATACTGCAGGTAGGAATGTAAAGCGTGGACCTATCTCCCCACACACAGAGTTGGAATAGCCTATAACCGACTCATTTATGGAAGTCATAGATAGATGACCCTTAAAAATTAAAACATACTATTTCTTATAATAGATATACTTTTATAAAAATAACGCCAGTAGGTTTAGTCTCTACGTAAACCGTATTGTCAGTGGTACTTTTGTCGGGAACCACAATGACGGGAGCCTATTTGTCAGGAGTCGTAATGAGGGGGCCGTTTTGTCGAGAAACTATATGTCGGGAGCCTAAATGTCGGGGTCCATATGTCGCTGGCCTTGTTGACGGGATCGATTTAACGGGGCAGATTTATGTCTACATGCACATTAAGATAATATATATAACTCTAAATCTAACTCAAAGCCCAAACCTAATCACAACCAACCACCACTACCACCACCATAAACGTAAACATAAACCAGCATAGACATAAACCATTTCCCATCACCGCACTTATAAACCTAAAAAAACAACCACACAAACAAAAATAAAAGCACAAACGGAAACATAAACCCTAACCCTCACTTTCAACCTCAACCAAAATATAAATACCAACACACAAAAAAAACACAAACATAACATAGACATAAGCATAAACCAGCCTTCACAACAACCTAAATCACAAATATTAACATAATACCCTCTCCCCTCGCTGCATTTCTACGCCTACAAGAACAACCATATAAGCACAAACATAAACTCAAACTCAAACGCAAACATAAACATAAACCCACACCACAACCTCAACCTCAACCACAAACATAAATATAAACCATATACACTCCCCGCATCTATACTTTTAAAAAGACAACCACATGAACATAATTCCTAACCCACACCACAACCACAACCAGAAACAAATACATAAACACAGCATAATCATAAACACAAACACAAATTTGATTTTTTTTCTATTCCAATTTTAAGTGTTATAATTAATCTACCACAAAGATGGAAGTAATTTGTACTATTTTTTTCAGATAACATTATAATTTTTGTGGAGAATAATAATTTTAGGTTGATTCTGTTCTTTACACTTAACCAACGGGACTAAAACGCACACTTCCCAAGGCGCCGGAGGACGCGCCCGATTTAATTTCGTGATCCATTATATTGGTCCGTCAGATCCTCTCCCTAGTGCGATAAGACAAAGACTGTCCTAACCTTCTTCCCTACCAACAACGTTACTACACTAAAACGTCACATTCTTACCGCGTGTTAAGCTCACCATCTTATATTTACACAAAACCCTTCACAACACACATAATCTCATAAACGTTCAATACTCTAATACCATTCGTAACATTACCCCCTTCTCCTCAATCTAAAATCAATCGCTAAAAATGTGCTTATTATAATAGTCTTTAATAACGCGCATTTTGGAATTTTATTTTTGTGCTCTTCTATAGAGCAAAATGACTGACACAACCTGTTGGCTTCAATAATAGTGTATTTATAGACGCGTGTTCTCAATTTCTGATTAGGTCATGTAAAATTATTACGATAAGTAAACAATATTATCTTCACTAGATACATGGCTAGTTGAGGGAGAAATATAACGGGCTAGGTTGATAGTGTTGTCTTTTGTTCTAAACCGAAAACAAAACCAAAATCACCACCTCAACCAAAAGAAAAGCAATTGAAAATAAAATGGATTTTTATCCAGAATTGTCATTTTATCCTGATCCGGAAATTTAACTTGAAATTTAAAAAAACCTAATAACCCAAACCTTAATTATGATACTAATGCTTACTATATATATTAATTTTCCGGTATTTTTTTATATCGACATTCGCTTCTCAAATTAAACTAATAAATTAGGCGTTTACATTTCTTGTCTCTATTATCAATGTCGTATCGTTTTCGGCATTCGATTCTTAATGGACACCAGCGAGTTGACGAGATTCCTTCCATAATGTTGTTGACATCGAATAAAAACGTGCTTTTTAGATTTAGACCGTAAAAAAAACTTAAGCCTAAAATTAATTTAGAAATTTATATTTTTAGAATAAATGCTATAAAAATTGCAAATCCAGAGAACTTGAAAATAATGTGTTGAGTTTAAGGCTACATTTCTATTTCTTTTCATCAAGCCTAAGTTATAACCGGATGTTTCACTTTCGTAAGACAAATGTTGATTGGCTGTACAGTAACTTAGTGATCGATAACTATTTGTTTACAAAACTTTGCAGATCAAGTTTTTAAATAACAATGCAAATTTATACCCCATGACCTAGTTTTTCTATTTTTAGCTTATAATGTGTACAGTAAAATTTATGGCGGCCTATCGAATAGCAGGATGCCATTGTTTATGTCGCCATTACACGTGAAAACCAAATTGAATTTTGCTTTTTTTTTTATGTTTATTTAGTTACCGAAAATATTAAAAACATCAGATACATCCAATTTTTAGTAAAGTCCGAAAAAAACCAGACAGGCAGGATTTTATAACCACATTAATTGTAACTACGCCGTGCATGATTTTTAAATTAATTTATGGACCTCTCAAATACCTTTGAGACTTTTCTCGCTGGCGTCCATTCAATTTTTTTCAATTCAACAATCGATAACGCCATTGTATTTTGTGGATGGGCGCTAAATGTAGAAATTACCACAATAATCTATCTGCTAACCTTGATCTAGCTACACATTACTAAATATAGTCGTAGTCACGGACTCATACCACTTAACCTTGCACCTAAGCTCAAACTTGAAAAAAGTCTCATTCAGAGTTTTTTTCAGACATCGCTTCGTCTACTACCCCTTCGAACGAAATAGAATTTATACAGTAAATTTATATATCATTTTAACTGTTTTCGGTTATGTCCAGGGGGTTTATGTCGGGGGGGTTTTGTCCAGGGGGTTTATGACCGGACACCCCCCACCTGAATCATGCAGACACTGTTTCTTTCAGACTATTTCTCCGGAGGGGGTGGGGACATATAAAATTTCTTGGAGATAGACTCAATTCTTGGAGGGAGGTGGACACTGGTCTTTCTGTATATAAATTCTATATAATATATATTTCGTTCTCCGAGGTGTCTGAAAGAAACCTCAATCATGCGGGTAGTATATCTTTCAGACTTTTTTTTCTCATGGCGGAGAGGGGCACTTGAATTGTTTTGGGGGAAATGGGTCGGGTTAAATTATCCGGAGGATTGGGCTGACACTGGAAAAAGTATATATTTTATATATATTTTCTTCGTTATTTCGTTCGGGGGTGGGGGCGGTAGACGTAACTCAGCGAAGGGAGGGAGCTACCAAAAGATTATATATTATATGCTGACTGCGCTGGAGTTGCCATCCCACTTAGTGTTATCTAAGAATATTCGAGAAAGTTTAGGAGATATAATTCCAGCTTTCTATTAGTTAAACCAAGCAGTTATTATTTGACGGTAGGGCATATATACTAAACTCAAGAAGAACTGTGCTTATCGTTTTGACTTTAAGATCAGTCAGTTTTATTTCTTTATTACATAGATTGAAAGATCAGATACAGCATATTACTGGGAGGAAAGGGAGATCATGGCTAATGCAAACAGTGAATGGATAGTACAGGTATTTAATACTTTTTTTTCTTCGTTATAGAATAAATAGTAACAGATTGTAAGTGGTGCTTTTGAATCAGTATGACCACTACTAGCCAAAAAAATACTCACACCTGTAAAAATGTAGCTTTATAATTTTATACTTTTGCAGCTCCATTTTGCCTTCCAAGACAACAAATATTTGTACATGGTCATGGACTACATGCCAGGCGGGGACCTGGTCAATCTGATGAGCAATTATGATGTGCCAGAGAAATGGGCCAAATTTTACTGTGCTGAAGTAGTGTTAGCTCTTGATGCTATTCATTGTATGGGGTTTGTACATAGGTGAGTTCTTACAGGACACTTTTACTGCAGTCTAGTTTAAGACAGTTGTGCTGACTTGTGTAGTTGCGTTGTAACCAAACTGCACAATTTTCTTTCAGGGATGTCAAGCCAGACAATATGTTGTTAGATGCCAATGGCCATATAAAGCTCACTGATTTTGGAGCTTCTACGAGGACAGATAAGGTGATCCCCTAAGCATTAGCTTCATGTATTAAAATGTGATGTTATTTGTAGTAGTATTATAGAATATACTTAAGCTTTCAGCATATTAATTACAAGCTTTATTATTCAAATAAAAAGTTAATTATTATTTTCATATATATATATATATATATATATATATATATATATATATATATATATATATATATATATATATATATATAATATTACTTAAAATAACATATGCTTGTCTATCTTCAGGATGGTCTTGTGCATTCAGATGCAGCTGTTGGCACACCAGATTACATCTCACCAGAAGTTTTGAAGTCCCAGAGCGGAGAGGGCTGTTATGGTAGAGAGTGTGATTGGTGGTCTGTGGGTGTCTTCCTTTATGAAATGCTCGTTGGTAAGGACACACATGCGCATTAGAACTTCCATCTTTAATAGTATTATCATATTTGTTTGTCAAACTACTGTTTTTACAGCTGAATTATGGAGATAATTTCTTTTGCAGGCGATACACCTTTTTACGCAGATTCTCTTGTGGGAACTTATGGTAAAATTATGGATCACAAACGGTCTCTTAACTTCCCCACTGATGTTGAAATATCTGAAAATGCAAAAAGTCTTATATGTGCCTTTCTGACTGACAGGTAAAATATGTTTTACAAAAATTGTGTATTTTATTTTCATATTTAATTCTTAAAATAATATTACCAAAAAGCAACATAATTCTCTTCTGGCATAGACACTAACCTCAAAATATTTGGCATTTTTTCAGAACTGAAAGATTGGGCAGAAATGGCGTAGATGAAATAAAACGGCATCCATTTTTCAAAAATGATACATGGACATGGGAAAACATACGACAAAGTAATTCTTACACTAATTAATTTTGAATTATAATTAAGGAACTGCCATAAACACACAGTAGTTATTTCTTTATGGTGTATCTGCAGCTGTTCCGCCTGTGGTCCCAGAACTATCTAGTGACGTTGACACCAGTAATTTTGATGATATAGAAAAGGATGAAACACCCGAAGAAACATTTCAACCTCCTAAAGCTTTTGCTGGGAATCATTTGCCTTTTATTGGTTTTACATACAGTAAAGGATGGAAGTATGTTTTTTTAAGTATTTTAAGTTTTAACTTTATTAGTAGTACTAAATCTTTATTACTGACGCCTTGGAAGACCATATCGGCACAGTCAGAAACCCGCGATTCATTCATGACATAAAAGCCATACCACCAGTAAATTTAGTAAATTGACAGAATCAACAACCCAAATAGTATAGTAGCAGTCATAAACGTAAATGGCAAAAATATTTGAGGAAGTTCATTCATTCAAGTACCTTGGCACCATACGTCATCTGATGAAGGAACGAAGCAAAAACTACTTGCAAGAAGTGCCCAAAAACAACAGTACTCAGTAAACTAATGTGAGCGGGTGGAAGGATTAATTAATACTGTGTTCGAATCGTTGTGTGAACGTTGTAGTGAATGTACTTACGGTCAAGGTCTATAAAACAGACGACTGACCACTGGTCGTTCTTTTTTTTTCCTAATCTCTAAACGATCCATAATGGATTAGTCTACATATCTTAGTGTGTTGTGAGCTCTTTGTGTCGGTGGTTGTGGTTGCAGTTCTCTGGGTGTTTTAGTATGATTGTTTGATTCGTTCCGTATGTGTTGTTAGGTTATGTTTGACAACTGTAGGTCTGGCTTTTAGACTGTATTGAATTTGTACATTGATTTATATATATATATATATATATATATATATATATATATATATATATATATATATATATATATATATATATATGATTGGTTTCATAATTTGTTGTAATGAAAGTTATGTTTTGTTTACTATCTTCGGTTTTTATTTAGACTAAGGTAAGGAGTTTAACCACCGTGGGCTTAGTCACGGTTGGACTGACGCCCATATGTTTAACTCATGCGGTTACTGGTGGTGTCTGTCCTTCTTTATGGATGCAAGGCATGCACCCTCAACGCAGGCCCTGGAAATGAGATATCTACGCAAAATCCTAAGGATCTCATACAGAGGATTATTTATGCGATTGGTCTCTTTGACAGTACCCTGGGACGAGTCAAATCAAGAAAATTAAGATGGTATGGGCATGTCACATGAACTAACACTCTACCAAAAACAATATTGAAAGGCACTGTGCTAGGAGGGAAAAGAAGGGGAGGACAAAGACGTCAATTGTTGGATGACATCAATGATTCGACGGGGCTGCCCGGATGGCGGATAAGTGTACAGTCAACTATGGTGCCCCAACGATGATGATGATTTAAAAACACATGGTCTTTTATCACAAGCTTTTCTTTAACTTGCTTCCTCTGTTGTCAGTCGTCAGTCTAGATTGAAACGCCCGAGCGAAAATAAGGGCACTTCTAACTGTTAGATTCGGTTCATAATTGGTACGTGGGTCAAGACATGGAGGCAGATGCAACATGACAATCAATTTGACTTAATTGGATGCCTAATTAATTTTTTATGAAATAATTAAAATTTAGACCAAATTAGTAGGCTGACTCATCAAACTATTCCAAACTATTAGACACGCGTCACCACGTTCATAAGTTGCGCAATGGTTTTTAGTCATGCAACTATAATAAATTTTAAAAATTTAAAGTACTGAAAAAAAAATCATAAAAAACATTTTAATAACAAAATTGTATGTAATAATGCACTAAAAAGTAGAAAATAAATTATACACTACTACTTAAATAACTATAAAGAAAAGCGTGGGTCTCTTCCTATATATTAGTAAAGGTATCAAATAGATACTAAAGGGACCCACGCTTTTCTTTATAGTTATTTAAATAGTAGTGTATAATTTATTTTCTACTTTTTAGTGCATTATTACTTACAAGCTCGCATTAAAAATTAAAACGTTTTATGAACCTTTTTTATATTTGGTTTTAAACATATTTTGTATTATCATAATTAATTTACAAATGGACATTCTTGTTTTAAATTTGTTGCTTTGTTAACATTTTAAAATAATATTTTTGTTTTCAGACAAGCATTAGAAAATATGGATCATCTTTCTAATAAAGAATTTTATATGAAACTGGAATGTCGAGAACAGGCTAGAAATTCAGACCTTGTTAAACGTGAATTGGAAGAGGTAATTTTTACAACCTTTTTTTAACTTGCTTACTCTGTCTGTCTAGATCGAAACACCCGAGCGAAATTTTGGGCACTTCTAACTGACAGATCAGGTTCCGTACAATATACACGCGTTATTAGGTGCGCAATGGTTTTTAGTCATGCAATTCTATTGTAAATAAAATAAATTTTAAAGGACTGAAAAACAAATTAATAAAAAACGTTTTCATAACAATTTTTTTAATGTAATAATGCACTAAAAAGTAGAAAATAAAAAAAATTATACACTACTATTTAAATAACTATAAAGATAAGCTTGGGTCACTTTAGTATTTATTGGATACCTTTACTAATATTTAGGAAGAGACCCACGCTTTTCTTTATAGTTATTTAGTGCATTATTACCTAAAAGCTTGTTATTAAAAAGTTTTTCATGGATTTTTTTACTCTTTTAGCCAATGTGTCTTTTATTCAACAATTACTAGATTTCATATGTTCTATGTTCTTCAATATTTGAAAATAAAGTTCTTTTTAAAAATTTGTATTCAAATCGTAGGTTCAAAGGAAGCCTGAATTAGAATCTGATAGCAGACAGAAAATTGAATGTGTGTTGAAAGAAAAAGAAAATCAATTACAAGCTGAAATAACTGCTCGGCTACAAATGTCTAACAATTCCGCTTACTCATCTGAGAGAGTGTCTAGCTTAGAAAAATCTGTACGTTTTCATTTTTGTTTATTTTAAATGTAGTACACTTTTTAGTCCATCTTTTAAATAAAGTAGGAGCTTATTAAATACATAATAAATAACCACTGTTTAAACACTATAAAGAAAGGCGACGGTCATTATATAATGTATTGAATATTTCCACTATACATTGAGAAGCGACCCACAAGATTCTTTAAAGCTATTTAAATAGTTTGTTCATTATTATATATTTAAAGAAAATTTTAAAAATTCTACTTTTTATTGCATAATTATATTAAAGATTGTTATTTAAATGTTTTTATTTTTAAAAGTTTTATTAATTTTTACGTTCTTGGATACGGAGTAGAGAGTAAAATTAGTTTTGCAACGATACAAAAATTCAAAATCTCGAAGTTTAACACCTCAAAGACTATTTCTTTCTGTCTGTCCTCTAACTGTCTATCAGGACTCAAACATGATGACTTTAGTAATTTCAAGAGTATTATATCTATTAATGCTGTATACTTGGATGACTTTTAATGTTTGAGTGACCGATAACCGAAGCGGTACGTTATTATATTTCTAATTTCTTAATCACAAAACCTGCAAAACCATTTTCGCCTCCGGTATATATAAAACGTCGAGATTTGTCAAAATATATTAACCATGAGTTGGATATGGTTTATGTAATAGATTGAGATAATTGTATTGGTATTATATTTATATTGTTATCTTGAGTGATGTCCCTTACATGTTGTTATCTATATATAGTTGTCTCTGGCCACTTCCTTCCTCTCTTTGCATCATGGCTGTCTGTAAATAAAAGGCTGTTAACACCAATGTGGCTCGTCGCCAATCTATAACATTTTGGCGACGAAGGATAAACATCTACTAGAAAGAGCACCTACTTACGCAAAAAAGAGGTTTGCTAGAGCTTATTAGCTAATTATTTCTAGAATAATGGCGCTGTATGGCCAAATAAATCAATTTGATTCGAATGATGAAATCATTCAGGATTACCTAGAGAGGTTAAGCTTTTACCTAGAAGCTAACAACGTGACGATAGAAGCCAAAAAGAGAGCTGTTTTGTTAACAGTCATAGGGCCTCAACAATTTAGGCTACTAAAGGACTTATGCGCACCAGCTAGTCTAACTACCAAGAGCTTTAACGAGCTGAGCAAATTGCTAACAGACCACCATGCGCCTGTACCATCAAAGTTTCTATGTCGAGCTAGATTTGACAGTAGGACTCGTCAACCAAACGAGTCAATATCAGAATATGTTGCTGCTTTACGTCATCTAAGTAGATTCTGTGAATTTGGAGAAACGCTGTCTGACAGACTATGTGAAAAGTTTGTGACAGGTGTAAACAGCCCTGATATTCAAAGAAAGTTGCTGCTCGAGTCAGATCTAAAATTGGAAAAAGCAATACAACTTGCAATGTCATTCCAGCAGTCATCTGATGCGGCGAGATCTTTAGCACCTTCAGAGATCCATGCAGTAAACAGCAGGTTAGTCAATAAACATCAACCCTATCAGAGCATTCCAACTTATGCTAAACAGCCTGCTCGTTCAAATCCTAGATCTAAATCTAGTAATAATTATCAAAAATGTCATCGATGCAAAGGTCCCCATGCATCTCATCGGTGCAAGTTCAAGTCTGCAACTTGTTATAAGTGCAGTAAGCAAGGTCACATTGCCAAGGCCTGCTTTGCAAAGTCTTCGTCTGTTGCTAAATCTAGCCAGTCAAGACAGTACCGCAACCAAAGGCAGCACTATGTTAACTCTCACCAAGACTACCTAACCCAACCAATGAACCACTCTACCGGTGAAAATGCTCAAACTGATTCGCAGCCGGATTTCAACCTATTCTCTGTGAAATCAATAAGTCATGCTCCCATCAATGTACAAGTTAATATCAACGGTAAGAGCATCAGCTTCCAACTTGACACTGGAGCATCTCTAACAGTCATAACAAAGAAAGATTTTGACGCTGTCACAGGAGGATCAGTGTCTCTACAGCCGTGTCACAAGTGTCTAACAACATACACTGGTGACAATGTTCCGGTAATAGGAGAGTGTATGGTTCATGTAAATTATAATGGTCAAAGTGTTAAACTTCCTCTTCTTGTGGTTGAAGGAAATGGACCGCCATTACTAGGTAGGAACTGGTTAAGTGATCTTAAGTTAAATTGGGAGAGTATTTGTTCATTGAAGAATGTAAAAGAATCTAGTCTTACTTCACTAGATAAAGTTATATCTGAAAATAAATGTGTTTTTGGTAACTCTGGATTACTAAATGATAGAACAGTGAAGTTAAGCATTAAAGACACAAATCCAAGATACTGCAAAGCTAGAGTTCCACCTTATGCAATGAGGAATAAAATTGAAAATGAGCTAAGTAGATTGGAATCTAATGGCATCATAAAGAAGGTAGACTATTCCGATTGGGCGTCGTCCATTGTGCCAGTGTTAAAGAAGGATGGTTCTATAAGAATTTGTGGAGATTATAAAACTACACTGAATAAGCAAATAGAGCTAAATAGGTACCCTATACCTAACATTGAAGAAATTTCTGTGAATTTGGCAGGAGGAGACAAATTCACTGAATTAGACTTTAGTCATGCTTACACTCAACTAGAACTGCATCCAGATTCAAAAGTCTATACGACAATAAACACACATAAAGGACTCTACCAATATGAAAGACTATGTTTTGGCATATCATCCAGCCCTGGAATTTTCCAAGCTGTCATGGACAGTATTTTTAAGGATATTCCAAATGTTTGTGTGTACTTTGACAATGTGTACATAACTGGTAAGAATGACACTGAACATCTTAAAACACTTGATAAAGTATTGAAAATTGTTGGTGAAAAAGGTTTAAAGATAAACAAAGATAAATGTCAATTCATGCTGACAGAAATTAGTTTTCTTGGTTATATATTGAGCAAACAAGGTATCAGACCTCAACCTGAGAAAACAAAAGCCATTAAAGAAGCACCCAAACCTGAAAATACCCAACAACTAAGAGCTTTTTTGGGCTTGATAAATTACTATGCAAAGTTCATAGGAAATCTGTCTGGTAAACTATCACCACTGTACAAGCTGCTACAGAAAAATGCAACTTGGCACTGGGGTAAACAACAAGAAGCTGCTTTTAATACAGCAAAAGAGGCTTTGTCTGCTGACACCTTACTAACTCACTATGACCCAGGGAAAAGACTTATATTAACATGTGATGCTTCACCAGATGGTGTAGGAGCAGTCTTGTCCCACATGGATGAGAAGGGTGACAGACCCATTGCTTTTGCCAGTAGATCTTTGAACCAGGCTGAGAAAAATTATTCTCAGTTAGATAGGGAAGGCTTAGGCATCATTTTTGGTGTTAAGAAATTTCATAAGTTTCTGTTTGGTAGGAAGTTCACCATCTTTACAGATCATAAACCATTGCTAGGTTTATTTGGAGAAAACAAAACCCTACCTGAGCATGCCTCACCAAGAATTCAAAGATGGGCTATCACACTAACTGCATACAATTATGAATTGAAATACAAACCTGGATCTGAGAATAGTGCAGATAGCCTTAGTAGATTACCTTTAAAAAACCAAAGCCTGAGCTATGTACCAGAAGATGTATTTGTTCTCTTCACTATCATGGATAACTCCAATATAAATGTGAATGATATTAAAAGAGAAACACAAAAAGATGAGTGCTTAATAAAAGTATATGAGCACTGTATGAATGGTTGGCCTGAAGAATCTGTGAATGATGACTTAAGGCCATATAAAATAAGAAATTAAAACCCTTTGTGAAGATAATATAAATGATGGAGAAGATGCAGTCCATTATCAGTCAGAGTTGCCTAAACAAAGTATTTGTAACTTAATAAATGATTATGGTGATATGGCAATTTCAAATGTTTTAAAGAGAATACATTAGTAAGAAGGAATGTGATCATCAAACAACTTTGCTAACATCATTAGCACTTACAGAAACTAAAAGGGTAACATCAAAAGAAAAGAGCAAAGATTTTTGCCATTGAATACACCCACTTCAAATACTGGATCACAGTTGCAAAGTGATATTGTCCAGGATATTACTTTTAAACAGTATGTTTGGTTACGAAAAAGCACTATCAGATTACCTGAGGAAATTGATCAATCAAAGAAATCTATGCCAGTTAAGGATCTGAATAATAGCATAATACTTTCAGATGCCAATTAAAAAAGTAAATCATGACAGAACACCCATTGAAAGAGAATTTGGTATTAATGAGAATGTGTATCTAAGAAACTATGGGAGAAAGGAAAAATGGATACCAGGTCAAATTGTTCAATGTACAGGACCTGTGTCTTATAAAGTTAAAAATAACTTGTGCAGATAATAAGTGTGAATCTGTCAATCCCACCAAATCTGATCAGTTCACACCAACTCAGTTTGTTCCACAACCAAGTTCTGTTGATATGAGTGAACCAAGTTGTCTGGAGTCAGAAAATGTAAATTCTGGAGTTAATGATTTAAATCCTAGACCTCCTGAGATAGAGAATCCAGATGGTCAGAATATTGAGTCACCAAATCAAAAGCTACTGAGAAGGTCAAACAGGACAATCAAAGTCCCAAATAAGTTAGACCTATGATTCTAAAGGTCAAAAGGACTTTGACATTATTGTTTTGTATCTTGATTATGTTGTGGCATATTGTGCATTGTTTGTAAGGATGTAATCTACCATAGTGTTCATGTTACAATATAATTGGTGATTTTAGGATACTATCAATTGTTCTATTGAGAGATGTGTTATTGTGTTCTAAGGGTAAAGGGATGTAATAGATTGAGATAATTGTATTGGTATTATATTTATATTGTTATCTTGAGTGATGTCCCTTACATGTTGTTATCTATATATAGTTGTCTCTGGCCACTTCCTTCCTCTCTTTGCATCATGGCTGTCTGTAAATAAAGGCTGTTAACACCAATGTGGCTCCTCGTCAATTTACCTCAGTTTATTATAACTGATTGTTATATTTTAATTATACAGATATGTTTATTAAACCTTCAATCATTTGCTGTTGACTATGATTAGTTATTTTGTACCTTATATTACATTATTATGACTAACTACATTTTGTTCTTGCGATAAAATAATTGTTTTCACCACATAAGAAGAGTCGATTTTTGTATCCAGATTTCTTTCAGACATTTATTAATTAGTATAGTATAATTTAATGAATTGTATTTTCTGATTAGATTTCAGATTTCATAGAAAAACTAGAGCAAGAAAGTGAAACATTAAATAAACAGAAAAAATTATACTCAGATCTCCAGCAGAAGTATTCCATGCTAGAGCAAAACTTTAATGATTTAAACAGCAAGTACCATGAGGTCCAAGTAATCAGACAGTCTTTGCAGAACGACCTCTTCACACTGCAGACAACTCTGGACAATGAGAGAAGCAATAAAGTTCAAGAATATCAGCGATCACAGGAACTGATTCGTATGTTTCCTTTTTTAAAAAATTGCATTACATACCAAATGAGTTTATTTCTTTTCGTTCATTCGTTCGTTCGTTTGTTCGTTCATTCGTTCGTTCCTTCATCCGAGTCCCATGAAACTTTGGGGAGTTAAAGAGAATACTACCGAGAAGGTTTTGGCGGCGACCTAGTTTATCCTATGTATGTTATTGATAATTTCCTGCATAGAGTGGTTTGAAATTCTTTGTTTTTATTTTTGCGTCTGTTCATCAAAAGCCTACAGGCTTTATTTTCTGCTTTAAAACGACATTATAATATTCTCATGGATAGTTAGTTTTGTTCAATGTTGGTGTTAATTGTCAGCTTTCACACACGAAAGATAAATATTTGAATGACAGTATTACATACTAAATTGGTTTATTTCTTTTCGTTCATTCGTTCGTTTGTTCGTTCAATGCTATGCAAGTTTTTTTTTCTCTCTCTATCTAACGTGCATTCGAGTTACTCACTTACGTGACAGACAAAATAAGCTAATATTAGTATTTAGGATTTTTTTTTTTTAAATATGTCAGTTTACTGTTATTTCGTACTAGAAAAAGCTTTATTAGTTTCAATTGCATTCATATAAAAAAATTTATATACATAGATAAAATCCAGTGTTTACAAGAAGAAAAAATAAAGGTCGAAGAGAGAGAAAGATCCAGTACCCTGAGCCTCCAGCAAATGCAACAACAAATTTTCTCTATTGAAAAGGTAGAACATATTTGTTACATTTTATCTCTCAAGTAAGTAAAATATCTTTGTAATAAAACTATTTTGAATCTATAGTTGTTACACAAAGTGTTAGATGATGTTACACTACAGTAAATATATTCGTGACAATTATTAAAGCAGGATAATTCTAATTTTACTCAAACTATAATGAAAAGTTATCATGCCAAAAGATAATTTTAAGTGATATTTGCCAACAGTTCTCTCTAGCTGCATGGGTTTCGAAACCTTTTATAACAATGCACTTTTGGTTGCTATTTTGAGTCAGAAGACATACATGTTATACATATTTGTTTACAGAAAACAACAACATTAGAGTTTGATAAAGAGGATTTTAAGAGGAAATGGGAGGGAGAAATAAAGGCGCACAAAAAGAAAGGATACAAATATAGAGCAGAGAAACGTTCTGATAGGAGTACTTCAGGTCATGCCTATTTACAAGCAAAAAAAGGTAAATTTTGAACTGAATCAAATGATTTATAATGAAAAATGTTATAATAGTGTGATGGCATTATTCATAATCTATTTCTATAAAGCAAAGTGGGGGTTGGTTGTTACTCATACCTGAATTAGATCGGGTACTCGCAGAGTCAATTATCAAAGAACGTGTTCTTGGCTAAGTGGGCTATTAAAATTCGACCAAAAGGAAAATTAGAACAGTTTCAATAATCGCGTGTAAAGTGAATGAAAATTGACATGGACTGACCGCGGCCTTACATAAACTATATATATATATATATATATATATATATATATATATATATATATATATATATTGAATTAGATCTACCACTTGTAGATGCGACGAGATATTTGGCTAGGAAATAGCTCTGATGCCGTAAACACAAAGAAAAATACTAGATCCTCAGAAATTAAGTGGATGAAAATGGACATTGTTTGACCGCTATATGTTACTTTTAAAGGGACGTAACTGCGTTAGGAATTCAAACTGGACACAAAGACAAACGAAGAAAACCAGTGGATAACAAAAGAAACATTCCTTTAAAATTTATACTACACTATTTTCAAAAAGCTTTGAAACCTAATTTATAATGGTTAATAATAATAATTTGATTCATCGCTGATGTTAACAAAGCAAATACGTCACCGAAAAGCAATGCAGTTCATTGGTGCATTTGGTGCACATGTTTCGAGACACGATAGTTGTTTTTTTTCTTTTAAACAGGGCATTGCAAAATTAATTTTAATACTAATACTAGACTACCCGTTATCCTTGGATAATTGTGGCTTTTGGGGGTCATCCTTAAAAGACGTAACGTTTATTTGACGATTTTTATTTTACCTTTCTCCTCCCTACTGTCACACATCTACACAAAAACCAGACTTCACACCCAAAAATACGTCACACCTCAGACAACATGTTTTTGTCTTTTAAAACACAAATTTCGCCTGAGCATGGGTCTAACCACACTATCCCTTCATATGCTTAGGTCACAGAATCATGTGAACTCTACTTCATCTGCCCCGTGTCCCGCCAAATTCCGATAGGCAACTTTTCTCATACACATCTAAAAAGAAAAAATATATAAATTTAACATTGACATGATGTGTCTCGAACCCGTACCACCAGCAGAGTAACTATTACACCTTACACTATCATCTCGGCCAGCTGGGCACACATAATGGAGTGCAAATTTATTGCCTTAATTTATTTATCATCGTATAATAAAGTTAAATTACGCGAATATTATTTAATACTTCATTATACCCTAATTTAGCCAATCCCAGTGCTAAACAAACAAAGATTTATATAAAATAATTAAGGCCTAAATTAGTTTTGTATTATTGGTCTAGATATAGAATCTAGATCTACAATATAAAGCTGGCTTAAATCTAATTTATCCGTAGCTCTAGAATTTGTAAGCCCTGATAGGGGGTTACTATTCTACCGTCCACAGGCTTATATAAATAAAATATCAGGTCAGTGCAAGCCTGGTCGCACCCAGACTGGTTAAAATTCTAACCTTAATCTTAACTAGATAAAGCACAAAAAACTTAACAATTTATAACATTTACTTAATAATAATGGGACTAAATTTAAAAGAAAATCTAAATTAAATAAATTATAGACTACTATTTAAATAACTATAAAGAAAAGCTTTTCTTTATAGCTATTTAAATAGTAGTGCATAATTTTTTTTCAGTAGCCTACTTTACATGTTTTATTTACACTAGAGTTTCATGACTAAAAACCATTGCGAGCCTATTGAACGTGATGACGCGCTATTAAACTTGAAGACGCGTGTGATATAGTTGGATAGAACTGCCTACTAATTCGGTCAAAGTTTTAATCAATTCATAAAAAATTAATTAGGCATCCAATGAATTAAAATTTAATGTCACGATGCATTGTCTTCATGTCTCGACACACGTACCAATTAAGAACAATATCTGTCAAGTAGAAGTGCCCGCAATTTCACTCGGATGTTTCGATCTAGACTGACGACTGACGAGGAATGTGAGTTAAAAGCTTGTAAAAAAAAGACTAAAAGAGGCAAAACAAAACAGACTAACCAAAACAAAACAAGCTACACAAACTTCTAACAAAACACAGGGACAGAACTCAGGAACATAAAATTAAAACACAAACTTTCGATGGAATATTTTAAACTTTTGATGCCTCGGGTAGTCTAGCTTTCTGAACGACAGACAACCTTCCTCATCTTACCATGGCAATCGAAAAGCTTTGAAACATCTGCACTAAATTGACGTTCACACCAGAGGCGTAGCGACCCTTCCCGGCGCCCGGGGACAAACTTTTTGATTTGCACCCCCCCCCCCCCCTCGAGATTTTGATTTGCACCCCCCCCCCCTCAAACTTTCGATTTGCACCCCCCCTCCTCGAGATTTTGATTTGCACACCCCCCCCCCCTCAAACTTTCAATTTGCACCCCCCTCAACCTTTCAATTTATTTTTCCAACCCATTTTGGCGCCCCCTAAGCTCGGCGCCCGGGGACATATGTCCCCCCCCCCCCCGCCCCCCCCCCCCCCTCGCTACGCTACTGGTTCACACGTTCGCCTCAACAAATAGATCTAGTACCTACGGGTCATCCAATTATGACGTACACGTGTTGAATTAAACAACAAAATACTAACGTTTGAAAAAAATTTTAAAAATATAAAAAAACTGCACATAAAATGTAGGGTATACATTAACTCGGCAGTTCTTGTGTTAAATGTATCAGAAATGTATTTGTATACCGCCCGCCTAAGAAAAAAAGCGATTTCTTTTTTTACAAGCGAGAGGTGGGAAGGAGTCATTGACCGCAGCGATTTTCTAAAACAATTTTCGGTATTTTAAGTTCATTTTTAAACATTTCAAACAATTGTAACTAAATCATAGTAGGCCTACAATCTTTATATTGTGTCAAATCCTAAAATGATGTAGATCTAGTCACATTTTCATGTAAAAAAATCTAAATAACCACGTTACAATTTAGATATTTAAATGTAAGCGCTTGTTCAGGTGTGTATGGCAACGGTCATCGCGAACACACAAAAGGTGGAGAGGTGGTTTATTATGGAAACACGTGTAACTTAAAGTTGAGTAAAAGAAATATAATGACTTCACGTTGATTAGCGAATTTACCCTAATTTATATAATCGCTATAAAATTACATTTAAAAGTTTTATGACTGCCTGCAATTTTGGAATCTATATGAAAAATAGGGGGTAAAAAAGCCATTTAAATCGAGAGCATGCGCGATCATTCTTTCAATTACGAACAATTTTAGATAGTCTTAGCACATTCACATAACCACAGTAAATTTACACGCTGTAGACTTACGGACACCTTGGAAAAGTTGGAACTCCCAATTATTATTTAGGCTTAGTAATAGATATTACCGAAAATATCAAATCCCTACATAACATTATCAGTTAATAATATACCAATGTACACATTACATGTTAATGAATCAGTGACTTTGCAACTTGTTTTGAGAGGTCTAATAAATTTTTGTGGACGTCCACTATGAGGGGAGTGGGGCTCGTCGAAAGTAGACCATGTGGACAGGGGGAGGGAGGGTCAAAACTCAGAAATTGTGTCGACGTCATAAATGGATGACCCCCTAAATCACCAATAACAGAAATACACTTAATATAAATGCTAACAGCAATTTAAACACGGACAATACACTAATATACTAATGCCTATTATAAAAAGACCTTTCCATGTCTTTTCCAAGAGACTTCTGCCAATCCCTAGACACGTTCCTAACCAAAATAATATGCTTACCCTTCAACAATTCCCTATTTAAAACAAAATTAACGAGCCGACCCGCGGCATATTATACGCCGCTATTTAGTTGTTGTTTTTTCTACCTTTCAGTTATTCATAATTTGTGAATTCGACACTACCAACGCTGCCACTGAAAATATTTCTTTAAAACACTATAAGTAGCTCATTAAGGACGATAACCCCCCCCCCCCTCCTCCCCCCCCCCTCCGTTAAAGTAAACTCCACTTAGTTACCCCCCCCCCCCCCTACGTTTAAAATCGTTTCAAACTAAATTATCTGCCCCTAATAGTCGTCACTAAACCCGGCTCTGTTTGTAAACATTTAGAGTGAACCACAGCTCACCAGACCATGTAGGGGTGGTAGGGAGCGCGTTTACAGATTGTTTTCTAGCGTCTCCCAGAAGAGAATTATATATATAGATACTATTAACTATCCAGATCATTAGCTTCCTCTAAATTACCACACATGTCTACGTTGACATTTAAATTATGTAATGGCTGTTAATAGCTGGAGCAAAGCCTAGCAATAACGGTCAGTAATTTATGAAAACAAAAGGAAAGTTTATGAATAAAGAAACATGTACATTTTATTTCATGTGTTATACAACTATTAGGTAGTCAAGATAAATTAGACTACGAAAAAACACAGAGGGCAATTCCAAAGAGTAAATCATTCGACATTGAGAAAACAAACAATGAACTTACTGTAACTTATACACAGCTTAGACAAGAATTTCAATCGATCAAAGAAGAACTAAGGAGTGAATCCGATAAGGTATGTTTAGAGAACTAAGGCAATCAATTAGTAGTAGTATTACTTAAAACAACATGTTTCTTTTTATTATATATCCAACTTCGAATTCATATCACTTTTAAATCTTTGTAGAGCAATAAATTAGAACTTCAAGTTGAACAGGAAATCCAAATGAAAAAGAAAATGCTAAGTGATTATAAAAATCAAGGTCATGAGTTGCAAAAAGCCAAGACAAAAGAAAAACAACTTACAAAGGTTATATGGTTTTGTTTGTCTGCTTTTCTTCAGAAAATATTATAAAAGCTCATGTAAGATATCTTATAAAACGAGTATCATCTAATAATGTAATTGGTTGACTATTTTTAAATAAATTGTCTTATCTCAGGAAATTCAAGATTTAAAAGAAGAGAAAAAGAACTTAGACGATGAAATTAAAAAGTTGAAAGAGTGAGTACAGCAGTCAACCAGCATAATTTACTAATTGATATATACTTGATTTATAAATAGAACTGCCATGTAATGAGTTCTCATAAACATTGAATTCTCACAACAGTGGTCTGCAAGTACATGACTTGAAGACAACAGAACTAAAGAATCAACTTGAGGAAGAGTTAAATTCTTTAGTAAGTTAATGAAACATGTTTGATTTTTTAAAAAGAAGTAATTGCAATTGGTAACCTATTAATGTATGTTGAAATTATTTATTTTTAAAAGTCTTTGTACAAGACTCAAGTGAAAGATTTAAAAGATGAAGTTAGTGAAAAGAATAAGCAGATACAAGATCTTACATCAGATGTTCAAAGCATGTTGCAAGAAAAGTAAGTAGTTTTATTCTTAATTATTTGTGGATGTGTCATATTTTATATTTGTTCGCACATTTCTCTTTACATGTTTTCTTTATAAAAACATTCCTGGAGATGATTGCTACGAGAGTACATTCATTTAATTATGAAAACATACCCAAGTACATTAAAAAAATTATCAAAATATTAATATTTTTAAGGGAATACTGAAATTTGTTTAGGTTTTTTTTACTTTCTTGTATACAGAGTATAAAGGAAGTATTGTAATCGTGCACAAAAATCACATGAAATTTTGACAGTTTTCACTGTTTTACACCTCAGTACTTCATCATATACGGAGTATAAGGGATTTAATCTAATCGGGCAAAAAATAAAATCCAGTTTTATCAAAATTTCGGCGATTTATGCGTAATTTAGTCGAAAAAACTGGAATTTGCAATCCTGTCCGTGTGTGTGTATGTTTGTAAACACGATAACTTGAGTACTATTTCAGCTATGCTGATGGCATTTCATATATAAGTATTATATCAAATTTGTAGTTCTGTATCAACTTTTTAGCGATTTTTGGTAAACGGAAATGGAACTTATTTTACTTTCATTTTTTTTTCAAAAGCCTATTACTTGATAACTATATGAAAGAAATTTCATCTATAAGTAAAATATTTAATTCTTTGCCTTCTGTATAATTTAAAGTAATTTCCGTTTACCGGAAATAGAACATCAAGCTAATTATAAAGTACTAATATTCCACACTATTATACAGATATTGTTTGCCATTCACTTTGTGCGCAATTCTTTTTTTTACGAGATTCTATTTTTAAATATTTAAGTAATTAAAAATATATTAAAATCACGTCCTGAGTTGCCATCCTCCGTAGTGTAATGTAAGAATATTCGAGAAAGTTTAGGGGAGATCACTATCGCTTTATTCATAAATATTTTTAATAAGCAGAGTATTTAAATATTTGAGTTAATTGAAGTGTTGGACATTGCAGGGACTCTATAGGTGCTCAACTTCAGTTGGCCCTAGCTAAAGCTGACAGTGAAACACTGACCAGGCAAATCGCTGAGGAGCAGTTGTCAGACGTTGAGAAGTTGAAAGCCATGTTCGAACTTGAAATTAAAAATGTTATGAGTCGCATCAAAGTTGATGTGACAAATGTGAGTCTTTTTCATTAAATATTGAAACTGCTGAATTAAGCTTATATATTTCAAGATTTATTCAAATATTCATAATTTATCCAAAACATATTACAATTTAGTGTGACACTTTACAATTTATTTTACAGATTTTCTTTTTTGCTTTATCTCAACATAGTACGACAATTTGTGACACAATTGATAATCTTGATCTTTTTTTAAAAACTATATTTTGGAAATAGTTGTTTTGATTGTTTTCCTCACCTTTACAAACGTAGGGCCTATATATATATATATATATATATATATATATATATATATATATATATATATATATATATATATATATATATATATATATATATATATGTTTATTTATTTATTTATATTCCATTCTACGGATGCTAACAAACTAAAGCAAGAAAATCTAAATCGTATAAAGACACTATCTGAAGGTACGTGGTTTTAAACTCTTGCCACAGTCATTATTATTATGTAATATAATAATCATAGTAATTATGTTTTGATTCAACTCTGTTTAATTGTGTATTCAAACTATTGCAGAGGTAAAAATGTTAAGACATAGTACTGATAAGTTAAAGAATATATTGGAGGAAGAGAAAGCGGAGAAAGAACTAGTGAGTTGTTTCTTTTGATTGCTTATGAAATTAGTATCTACAATAATAGTTTCGCTATTCTGTCTGTCCGTTTGTCAGGAACGCTCTAGGGCAAACAGAAGTAAAATAAAAACTTTCACAGTCAAACAGAAAACGAAACTTCCCTTGACCGTGACAACACATGGAACATATTTGAATTTTTCAAAACGAAATAAAACGCCACAAAAATAATGACGTCATCGGTACTCGATAATAAAGACACTAACATTATCCCATAATTTATTGATCTAATTTTAAAAGGGCACCCCGAGAAAAGAGCGCACGATAAAAGAGCGCCGACATAAGAGCGCAGACATAAGAGCGCAGACATAAGAGCGTCGACAAAAGAGCGCAAGCAATTAAAAAAACACATGTTGTACGTTAAACGAATATGACATGGTTAACACTTGTTTTAATTAAATTAAAATTAATTAAATCTGTTGGATTGATGATGTCTGTGGTTCTCGTACCTGTCTTTACTCATACTTCTGTCGGCAACATGGGTCATAAATGCTGAAGTTTATTCTGTCTCGTTATACTTTTTACATATTGGATTTGTTGGATGGGCAGCTATAAATTTCTGCGTCATTTATGTGGCAGTCTTTATGTCTCTAGGCTTTTTACTTTCTCGTATATACGAAGTATAGAGAAAGTATTGTAATCGTGCACAAAAATAACATGAAATTTTGACAGTTTTCACCGTTTTACTCCTCAGTCCTTCATCACATCCGGAGTATAGAGGACTTATTTTAATCAGGCAAAAATTATAAATACAAATATATAATCGTTTTGGCGTTTTATGCGTTATCGAGTCGTAAAAACTGGACTTTGCATTTCTGTCCGTATGTCTGTGTGTCTGTGTGTCTGTCTGTGTGTAAACACGACAACTTGAGTACCGTTACAGCTAGGTTGATGAAATTTCCTGTATAGGTATTTTATCAAAATTGTAGATCCTGATCAACTTTTGAGCGATTTCCGATAACCGGAAGTGGTACTTTTTCTACTTTGAATTTTTCAAAAGCCTATAAGTTGCGTACTATTTTAGATAGATGCATGAAATTTCACACGTAAGTAAAAGATCTAATTCTCTACCATTTGTCAAATTTTGAGTTATTTCCGTTTAACGGAAGTACTAATTTACGCTATTTCCGATTTCTCAAAAAACGCATGTAAATTTATAAAGTACTAATAATATCCCGCACTTTTATACACATTTTATTAGGCGTTCAATTAGTGTGGGACGGAGTGGTCTAGCGGTAGAGAGCTGGACTGCTAACCCGTTAGTCTCGAGTTCGAATCCGAGTTCAAGTCAGTAGACCGTCCCTGAGTCCACCCAACTCTGATGGGTACCTAACTCCTGTTAGGGAAAGTAAAGGCGGCTGGGCATAGTGCTGACCACAATATCTCTTCATATTCCGAGGTCACATAAACAAGTGAACTCTACTTCACTTGCCCCATAGACCTTCAGGTTTGAAAGGGAAACTTTTCACTTGGTGTGCAATTCTTTTTTTTTTACGAGATTCTATTCTATTATAAAAAGTTTAAGTAATTTAAAATGGATCTATGTCCTGAGTTGCCATCCCTCGTAATTTTATATTAGAATATTCGAGAAAGTTTAGGGGAGATCACTCCCGGTTTATTTCTTGTAAGAAGGAATACAAAGCACTGTGGACTGAATTCAATATTTTATCGACCAGGAATTGAAATAAATCTTCATATGTTTTGCTTATAGATGCTGCCTCAATCCATTTTTCTAGTGTAAGTTTTAAGTCATTAGTAAACACTTTGAAATCTTTGTCTTTCTTAGGTTGAAGTTTGTGGAATTTTTGTCTATAAGTTTCTTCCGTCAGGTAGTAAAATTCTAGTAACGTCTGTTTTAGTGTCTTGTAGTCTTTGATTTTGTTGGCTCATCATATTGTCGGCTATGTTTTCGGACTGGGCGATCGTTTCAAACCGTCGAATAAAGGCATCTATATTGTCTTTGTTGTCTTCAAATTTAGAACTTTATATAACATGCTTCTTGACTGATTTGTTGTTGGTGGTGTTGTATTCTGCTCTGGTTGTGTACTTTTTTTGTTGACTTCTAACCGTTCTATTTAAATTTCTTTCTCCATTTCCATTCTAGCCTTTTCTTTCTCAAGGTCTATTTTAGCCAATTCCAGTCTAGATTTTTCTTTTTCTAAATCCAGTTTTCCCCGTTCCATTTCAATCCTTATACATTTTTCTGCTTCTATTTGAGCCAATCGCTCTTTATCAGCCGTGATAGCTCTATGTTTTCTTCAACCCATGCCTCTAGCTCAGCCCCACTTTTTTTCAAGCGACTTGCCTAGCTTATATAACTGAGCGAGGTCAGTCATGGTGTGTGAATTTGAATAGTTTAAGAATGATCACACACACACACACAATAATTGTACACAAAAATAAATTAAGTGTTATACGAACAGCGATAAACAGCACAGGTTAAAGGTAACTGACTCGTTAATCACAACAATAATACAGGACCTACGGTGACAATAGGCGGTAGAGGTAGAGAAAAGGTAGTACAAACATGACTTCTACATCTAATAGTAATATGTACTTCTTAAAAGGCAGGCCTAAACTCAGTGTGTCATATCGTTAGGAAGCCTCAGCCAATTTTAGAATAACAACACTAGATCTATAAAGACACAAAACAAACACGAAGAAGAAAAACTGCTGAATAACCAGCACAGGATCCAAACAATCCTGTTACTTAAAAAAAATAGAGGAAAGTACTTATCATTGCTTTCTTGCGATGGGCTTGTAGCACCTCTGGTCAACGCGAATCCGTTTCAAACTTCACTTCTGGTCAACTTGAATCTTCTTAAAACACCACTTCTTGTCTCGGAACTAAGAACCACTATTAATTTGCTCCACCAATATGTGATGGGGGGGGGGGGATATGTATACCTTGCTATATGAAACTATATGGTGACTACTCCTATAACTAACTCTTCAACTATACACTTGTGTGGAGGACGGGAACACTCTTATTTTCCGTCGACACTAATTAACGATATCAACAACTTCGATCATGAAATAGAATTAAATTTATTTTCCAACAATAATACTATATAATATCAAAACACGTCTTTTTCCTATAATGGCTAACCCCCAACTGTCTTTACTCCTGGATCCTACGTCATCCGTAACGTTGTCGTGTCATGCTCACGTAACACTCACGCCACAAATATTTTATTAAACACACGCACATACTCTTGAACCAAATCGTCTACCGTCAAGTTCTCACTGTCCTTATTAGTCTATGCCAGTCTAGTCTTATTTTATCTATCTACGCTATGACACTATGTGTATATATATATATATATATATATATATATATATATATATATATATATATATATATATATATATATGTGTGTATATATATGTATATATATATATATATATATATATATATATATATATATATATATATATATATATATATATATAGCTTAATTACAAAAAACAAATAAGTTGTGTTAAAAGTTAATACACATAGAAAAAGCATTTAAAATTGTACTTATCTTAATCAAGATGAAAACGTTGACTACGGCTAAATCCCAAGGAATTAATGGGTGGAACTTCGGGGCGGGGAGACAATTGGGGACATGTCTTGGCCTCATCATAAAAAGAGTTTTATCCGGTTTTTTATTACCGTCCGGAACAGCAGTCACAAAAAACGTTGTCCGTGTCTACAATTAGGGCGTCAGATACGCATTTATTTATTGGCTGCTTCTCTCTTGGTCTGTTCGGGAATTCCTACAAGTGAGAGCGTGCATTTAACTAGAGATGTTTCACATTTTCATCTCTTAGTCATCTCTAAACCACTTGGTCAAAACTTCAACTCTTTAAAGAGATGGGTGATGCTAGATACTCTCAAACTATTTGAATCTTGAATATAACCGAAGTGAACCTTCCCAAATTTAACACCCAGGTAACGCCTGTCCAGTTCAGTTGGGGGATAATCCACTAACAGCTTCCATGGCCTAAAAAACTCCACCACATCCCCACATTTCATTACATCTATATGGGCTCAATAACTCTATAGATAGCACTACTATTAACTGGAATAATAATGGCTCTGTATGTGCACCCAATTATTTTAAAGAAAGCTCTACTCAGAATTAAAATACTTTAACTTTAACACTAAAACATGCCCATCCTATTCATACAAATCAATATGGGCACAATTATTCTGCATGATATCATTACAATGTATCAAAAACAGTATGTTGATGCTTATTCTTAAGGGCAACCTTACAGTGTATCAAAAACAATATGGGCATTCTTATTCTTAAGTGTGCTCATATAATGCATGAAAAGGAATAATATCTAAAGGATTCCCCTGCAATTTATCCCAAAAAAGAGTATGAGCGTTATAACACTAAAAATTGCCATATATCTCACCAAAGATACTCCAAAAATCTATAATAATAATATAAGCATAATTACCCTTAGGATGCCTTTAAAATGTATCATAATGAACATGTACATAAAAGCTTTAGATATGCCCCAATGTTAACAATGATGATGGGTGTAATTACTGTTGCATGCCCTTCGAAGTATTACATGAATATAAGCATATAAAATGAAGATGAGCATACTTATTGTATGGATGCCTTTAAAAAATGTATTATAAAGTGAAGTGGGCATATTACTTGATGCTCTTATAATGAATATACGATTAAATACTTTAAAGATGCCCCTACAGTGTATAAAAATAAATGTAACACTGCCTTAGATGATACCACCCGCCGAAAATATCAAGTACAATATAATGTACAATACCTCCATTAGGTCTACATAACCAAGTTAACCTAAGCAACTGCACCGTCCGTTTCATTAGCAGCCTGGGGTTTGATTGCCGCGGACACAGGTACAACTACCCATAGTCCCAGAGGTCACATGACATGGAAACACGGGGAATATCGCTCACAGAAGAGCATAACAAAATACATCAACAGTTGCGGTCCCACAGGGGCCGCAATCGAATAAATTATAAATTATCCCCCCTGACTGGTAACCATTGTATGTGTTACATAAATATGGATATAATTACTCGACATATGTCCTTGAAAATGAGTATAACGAATACGCGCATATTACTTTAAAGATGCCCCTACAGTGCGTGGGAATAATTTGGTCTCAAGTACTCTAAAAGATGCCCCTACATTATACTAAATAAATATCAATGACTACCATAGGACTACCCTTCAGTGATGCCCGCTTTTTCTATATAAATTTTGCCATATGGACAGTGTAATGGGTTAGATCGGCAAACATGTGGAAAGTTACGATGACACCATGGCACAACATATCGAAACTTTTTTTTTTATTAAAAGAAATCCACCTCAGTTGGATGCCCCCCCCCCCCCCCCACCCAGTAGTGGATGCCCGGGGCCTGGGTCCCGTCCGCCCCCCGCCCCCTTCTGCACGCCACTGGTATGGCTAAGACTATATTTATGAACCTAGTGCCCGTTGTATTTCTCCCTCAACGGGCCATTTATCTTATAGAAAAATATTCTCGATTTTCGGGATTTTAATTTAATAAATTCTAATAATCTTTGTTTTACACAAATTAACAAACTCTAAAAATCTCTGCTTTACACGTGGCTCGGGAAATTAACGGTTTATATTTCCAGGAGCGTGAAAAGTATTCTAAAATGGTTGAGAAAATGCAAAAGGATATTTTCGAAGCTCAGCAGTCTGTGTATCAAGAAAGCCAGGCCAAGCAAAGACTTCAGGTGGAAATGAATGCTAAGGACTCAGAACTAGAGCAGCTAAGGCAGAAATTAGCATTTTCCAACTCAACTGACGGTATTGGCAATCCAGATGACAGCATAAACGTTTTAGAGTATGAAGGAGGTACTGTATACCTAACGTAACTGTATTACATATAAAGGCTTTAAAAATTAAAATATTTCAGTGAAAATTCTTATTACTCATAATTGAGTGTAAAATTTAAAGAAAGTAACAGTTTATATAGTTCATGAAGCAAATAATAGATTTCGATAATCATAACATTCTTTTTTAAATTACAAAAATAATAGCTGGAAAAATCTATCTGACTGTACTAAGTTAACATTTGATTTGTGTTGTTAGTGAACTTTTAAATGTACTGAAACGAATTCATACACTTTGTCGTGCACAGAGTTTATAGATTATTCTTGAATTTGAACATTTCAGAATCCATATTATTAAATTTTGGCAAGTTATCTAACATTAACAAGCTGCTTTATTTTAAAATTGTCTTATCTAACAGCAACACCGCTTGTTCATTTGCCTGTGTCGTCAGATTATCATATAGAAGGTTGGCTGGAAGTACCTGCTCGAAACATGCAAAAGAAGCATGGCTCCAAGAACAAGAAACAGGAAAATAAAAGCAAGAAACAGGAAAATAAGAAACAGTATATTGTTGTTAACAACCGAAATATTTTCTTCTTTGAACCAGTAATGGTATTAGACATAGAGTAAGTAATGTAAAAGTAAGTAAGGTACCCATTCTAACCTGATGTTCCATAAGGCAGTTTTCAGCTTGACATATGAAGAAATAGTGTGGTTAGCACTATGCCCAGCCGACTTTACTTTCCCTAACTTGAGTCAAATATTCAATAGAGCTAAGTAGACTCATGGATGTTCAACGGACTTGAATCCGGGATTCAAACTTGAGACTTTATGAATTACGAGCCGGCCTGCGGCATAACATACGCTGCTATTTAGTTGTTGTTTTTTCTACTTTTCAGTAATTCATAATTTGTGAATTCGACAGTACCAACGCTGACACTGAAAATATTTCTTTAAAACACTATAAGTAGCTCGATAAGGATCATAACTCCCCCCCCCCCTTCCTCCCCTCCCCCCTCCAACGTTTAAAATAGTTTCAAACTAAATTATCTGCCCCTAATAGCCGTCACTAAACCCGACTCCACGAAGGTAAACATAGCGTGAACCACAGCTCACTAAGACCATGTAGGGGTGGGGATGGTAGGGAGCGCGTTTACAGCTTGTTTTCTAGCGTCTCCCAGAAGGGAATTATATATATAGATTATGAATATCATGTCTCCGTGTTATTTAGTTACTTATAAAATTTGATCACATGCTAATGAAGTAATCACTATTATTTTAAGTAAATATAGAAGTAGGCCTGCAAATTTGAATCATGATCGGATTTTTTAAATTATGAATCACAGCAAACTCTTTCATGTCCGACCAGTGACAAAAGCTGATGTATTCAGAGAAGATGACAAAGATATCCCTAAAATCTTTCAGGTAATTTGATTATATTTTCGTAGTTTTGATAAAGTAGTATTTAGATCTACACATGGTGTAATATATTTTATAATATATGAAAAGTACAAGAGCATTTCTGACTTTTTAAAAATCATATAGGTTGTTATTTTTTTTTTAGGAGTAAGTTCTTAAGTCACTTTTTTACGTGTTCAGATTTTATATGCAAGTGAAGTGGTAAACAACAAACCGGGTGAGGTTTATCCAGAAAATGGAACTGCATCGATAGATCGTTCGAGTGCGAAGATTCTTAAAGACCATGATTTAGTTCCAATAAACTTTCATAAATCAATTAAATCAATGTCTTGTGACGCATGCAAGAAGAAGAAGTGGCTTAAAAGCTTAGAGTGTAAACGTAAGTGTTTTATATATTTTTCGTATACGTAGTATAAAAGAAGTATTGTAATCGTGCTGAAAAATCAAAATCGAGTAGGAAGCACTCAATATCCCAATCTTGTTTGTTTGTTTGTCTGGCCGTGTACACGATAATTTAAATAGCATTCAATTTTGGTGACGAAATTTTGTTATATTTGATCATGTATGTGGGAGATTTCCAACTTTTGAGCTACTTCAAATAGCTGGAAATGGTATTTTATTATCCTCCGAGTGACAAATAAACTTGAGTACCTTTTCATTTAGGTTGACGAATATGCATTTATAGTATTAGATCCTATACGTGAGTTTCTGTAAGCTTTTAAAATATTTCCGGCAACTGGAAGTGGTTTTTTACCCTTCCTCCGATTTTTCAAAAACCATCAGAATTTGATAATTGTATGTGATGTCTTATATTCTAAGAACTTCTTGCTTCTATGTGTTTTTTCGATTCCACTTGTAGTGCCACCCAAACACAAACTATTATATAACTATTGTATATTACGAACCGACCCGCAGCGTATCATACGCCGCTATTTAGTTGTTTTATTTTCTACTTTTCAGTAATTCATAAATTGTGATTTCGACAGTACCACTGCTGTCACTGAAAATAGTTGCTTTAAAACACTATCAGTAGCTCGTTAGGGACGATAACCCCCCCCCCTCCTTTCCCCCAACCCCCCCCCCCCGTGAAAGCAGCCCCTCTTATTTACCCCCCCCCCCTAAGTTTGAAATGTTTAAAATCGTTTCAAACTAAATTATCTGCCCCTAATAGCTGTCACTAAACCCGGCTCTATGATTGTAAACATTTAGCGTGAACCACAGCTCACCAGACCATGTGGGGCTGCCTATAGAGGAAGAGAGGGGACAGCTTGGTGTTTTCTAGGGTATCCAAGAAGAGAATTATATATATAGATACGAGAAACTTTAAGGGAGCTCACTCCCGCTTTGTTTTTACATACTTTTATTTAATTTCAATCCTCGTGCTTGCTCTGTCTCTTTTGATTAATTCGTCAAAGGTCGACCATTAAAAATGAAATATCCATTTCTACCAAACCCATTTGTTTAACCCATTTGTTTAAAAATTTACACGTAATTCAAGACCCAACAGCAGTGCAATGTTATGCAAAACTGTACTAATTAACATTACAAAAGATCCTAAAATGTTAGTTCCTAAATATTTGTAAAAATATCCAATACATATTATAGCGACTCACGATTTTCTTTATAGTAATGTAAATACAAGAGTATTATAATATATTTAAAGAAAATCATTTATTTTCTCCTTTTTAATGCCTTATTAAATAAAATCTTATTATTAAAACGTTTTATGCAATTCTTTAATGTATTTTTCTCTGTACTTAAAAATTTGTAATACAATAGAGTTACTTGTTGAGCGTCTAATTGCTGCAGCATTACCTACACCCATATTAATTAAACTGGGAAGTGTTCAATGCCTGTTTACAGCTGCACTGGATATTTGTTACATCGCCCAATGGTAGTACCAAAAGTGCCTCGGCAATTTCATGATCACGTTCCATTATTCGTCCTTGTAATATATGTGTGTGTCTTTCAACGGATGTCTTTACTTTTCCCATAGAAATATGATTTTATCCAATGAAAAGAGTGGGAGCTTAGTTGATGCTTATTTTTTATCTATGGAGAAATGGAATAATAAATAAATAATAAATAAAGATTAGACATGAATAGTGGGTCTACCAAAAAAAAATAGAAATGAGACAACTAAAATACACTAACAATAACGTGCTTACTGGTAAAATTGACTAACTAAATCTAGTAGTATTAATTGTATGCTAAAGTAAGACTATTTTAGTAGTCTAACTACTAAATCTAGTGTAGAAGTGCTACATTTACTTAGTTAATACTTACACTTTAGAAATTTGAACAGATTGATACAATTTTTTTTAAATATTTATTTCCAGATCTAACTACTTGCTCTTCTTTACCTACTATAATATTTATAAGCTAATACTAATAATATAGATCTTTTAAATAGTAATAACTAATTTCTAAATCTAGAATCTAGCTAGATCTCTAGCCTAAATGGAGCCAATCAATCAATCTATTAATTTCGATTGCTAAAACTAAGTACAATTATTTAATTTTAAAGATTGTTTACTATAATTACTTAATTAATAATTAGACTCCAGCTAGATACTAGTAAATACTAGACTCTAGACTGGAAAGATAGAATCTAGTTAGTAGACATTGTGCTATTCTAATAATTCTTCTAACTAAAGTACTAGACTAGACTTCACTAGCCTCACTAAATCTAACAGAGTCCTTTCATATGACGTCACGTCCGTTCGTGATACCTACGCCCGCCGCCACAGTGGTGTACACCAGACGTAAACACAATCAGCTGTTCACCAGCGCTGGACGTGTTCACCAGCGCTGGACGCGTTCACTGTATGAAAAGAACCGCACCCGCGGAAAAGGAAAAATACGTTAAAAAACTTGAACTCTTAGGAATTGAAGATCCTTATACTGTTATTGACAGTTTCGTAGATAATATAAATATGTGGCCAAAATTTCTAAATAAAAATACTGTTAGTAATACTGTTTGCGTTTAGAGTTTAAGTAGACGAATCTGATCAAATGCAGTTCTCGATACTTTGTTACAGGTAAGGACAGTAAAATAATAAACTTCATTTTAATTATAAAAGATAACTATTAATAAAAGACAAAGTCAAAAGTAATAATAAGAAGAATAAGATCTAATAGTAGGCCTAATAATAGTGTTTTAATATCTAGATCTAGAATCTAGCTCTAAACATGGCGTAAACAAAATTCGGACCACAGATCTAGATTCTGGATTTAGGGTGACTGACTCCGCTGGGTAGACATAGAATCTAGAATCTACTTCTTTACTTAAATTTAATTACAAAATTTAGATCTACATTCGATTCAAAATACACCCATAATAAATCAAAAGTAGTCATAATAGGCCTAATAAAGCATTTAATTGTCTCTATCTAAAATCTCGCTCTATAATCTAATCATTTTTTAGCAAACGAAATTTTCTGAAATTGAGATAGATTGTATGACTAGACTTAGATCTAGAATCTGCTACTTAAATTAAATTGTAAAAACTTTATACAAGCATGTAGTTGATATTACTGTAGTAGAAGGCTTTAATAAATTACTAAGGCCTACCTACTTTGTTGTCTTTTTACAGCAATATGTATCTGATACTGGACTGAGTTTAATTAAATTCAAATTCATATATAATAATTGGTCTACTAAGTTTTTGTAGCCTAGTAGTACAATCTAGATCATACCAGCCAACAACAAATAACCACATTATTATTATTTGGTTAATGATTAGGCTAATTTTTTAAAAATCCACTGTTTATAAAAGAAACAAATCAAGCTAGAAACATAAGTGAGATGGTTTAGAATAATAACAATGGACCCAGTCTACAATTGATACAATTGCAGGTCTACATAGGGCCTACAGTCTAGTAGTTTACAGTAGGCACCTAGTGTGTAGCTAGTATACTAGTGTGTAGCTGTCCAGAGTTAAGATTCTTAATGCCTTAATGCTTTCCCCTGATAAGCCATGTGTGCTATAAATGACATAACATGACATCGAGGTGAGAAATGTTGAGGGGAGAGCAGTGGGACTTTCCCCTTTGTTCTCCCTGCTGGGCCCTGAGGGTCAAAATTATATAAGAAATACTATCTCTGTGGGGTTTGGTATCAAGGAGGTGAGACATTTTCAGGGGAGGGCAGGGCAGACTCCTCTTTGGTTTTATTGTGGGCTAGATACAGGTGGGGGCAGCCATCATGAGGGTTGAACATCAGTATTAATGTGTCTGATCACTTCCCTGCTGGATTATAAGGGTCTTAAATTGTAGAACATGCAACCCAGATTGGTTATTACCCATGGATTATATAAGTCGTTGAAGTGTGGGTTTTGTAGAAGTTAAGTGGTCTCACGTTTGCTACAGTAGATAACCTATAATATATTCCTGCATTTGATCAGATTCGTCTACTTAAACTCTAAACGCAAACAGTATTACTAACAGTATTTTTATTTAGAAATTTCGGCCACATATTTATATTATCCACGAAACTCTCAATAACTGTATAAGGATCTTCAATTCCTAAGAGTTCAAGTTTTTTAACATATTTTTCCTTTTCCGCGGGCGCGATTCTTTACGTACGGTGAACACGTCCAGCGCTGGTGAACAGCTGATTGTGTTTACGTCTGGTGTACACCACTGTGGCGGCGGGCGTAGGTATCATGTGATTTAGGTCACGTGTTTGCAAGGACTCTATTAAATTGTATTATTACTTTTTTTGTTTCTTAGTATTTGTGAAGGCCATATATACATTAATTTTTTATAGTAAAAATTTATTAAACATTGTTCTTGGTTGATTAAGATTATGTTTATTGTAATCTGTACTTACCTGATTGGAACATCGTGTCGAGAACAGATTCGCGTGTTGTTTACAGTTTAAATCTGTTTTATTCACAGCACTTCGATAAATATTCGCCGACAATTGATTGCGTCTACGCTCTGATGGCTGTCGATCTCTCTCCCATTTTTGCAAACGACATAAAGAAATTCTTTATAATTTCCACTTCGAGTACAACAACCTTTCACACAGCAGATCCCATTTTGAATGTTGTCTAGACCCAAAAAGGCTGATGTTTATAAGGGGACTTAACCGTGACGTCACATGCAAGGGTTCTATAAATCGGACGTAGCGTTAAGTTCTACTTTCGGTCATCGGACATTACTCAATATTTGAGAGAATCTTGAACCTTTGAATTAGATTCCGTCCACCTAACTGAAACAGTATTTAAGTTATCGGTATTTTAGAAACAATAAATGTATTAAAATAGCACTTTCTGGTATCAGAGGTCACTCAAATGTTTAAAGCTTTCCAAATATAAGATCTTATACTTCGATATGAAATTGTGTCTACCGAACTGAAAAGTACTTAGGGGTCGTTTATAAATGACGTCATACTCGTAGGAGGTAGGGGATCAGTAATTTTGTGACGGGGTATGAAGAAGGGTACAGAGGGTTCAGATTGTGTGGCGTCACACTTTCGCATTATAAAAAAGCAATGTAAGCAAGCGAGCTTTAGCCATTACTAGCCGTCCCGGCCAGGCCCTGCTCTGGCTTCTGTGAAAAACCTTCCTGTTAAAGACCATTACCTGTGTGTTTAGTAATCATCATAAACCCGGCATTGCCCACCCAAACCACAACCAACCAAAACCAAAACAACAAAACGCAAACATAACGCTAACACAATTACAAATACAAACGAAAACAAAAACCTAACAACAAACCCAACCACAACCACAAACACCAATACCAACACACAAAAAAACGAAAAAGCAAACGAAAACAAAACAACTCCAAACGCAAAACCAACCAGAAACACAAATACAAACCCAAAGAAAAAAACACAATCAAAAACGAAAAAAGAAAGAACAAAAACGAACCAAATCAAACCGCAACCACTAACGCAAACCCAACCTAAACACAAAAAAAACACTAACGCGAACATAAACGCAAAGTGCTCACAGTCTAGCCCGGGGCGGAATCGCCTGTTTTAGCTTAATAAACGACTATAGTACCCCAACTTATTCATAGTCTTTTGCACTCACTTAAACGAACGCGCCTGTTTCAATTTAATGAACAATTATAATACTCCAAGCTTATCCGTAAAATACCTACAACGTTTGCACTTGATCAATCCCCGCTAATTATGTAATTATTTTTTTTCCCAACACCAAAACAAAGTAATAAAAAGTAAATTCTTTTCCACTAATGCAATGGTTTTATAAAGGGAAGTAAATGTGTTTTCCTAATTTATCAAAGGGAAGTAAGTGCTATAGGACTAAATAAAGACATAATTAGAATTTTTGTAAAAGATGATATTTTTAAAACTTGTGTTTAATGAACATGCCGAAAATTATTACTTTCAGTTTGATAAATGAAAATTATTTCCGAAAACTTTCAATATTAATTTTTTAACTCATAAATTTAGACCATAAAGACCTAATAATCTAACACTTAAATCCATCGAAGTATGTCAACGACAAACTTATTACAAACATACAGAATTGAGCTTTATATATTAGATTTTGCGTTTTAGAAAACTGTTTTAATAAATTGTAATAGGAAATGATTAAAATACTCTGTTGACATTGTTCAAACACGATTTTGGAAAAATATCAATGTTTTAAGAAAAATTCAACTGCAATTTTGAGGGGGGGTTTGTGGCTGAGGTGTGACGGTCTTTTAGGGGGGGGTCTGGCTTTTTGTGACGATGCGTTACGGAGGAGATGGGGAGGTACGAATCGTCCAAAAAAGCGTGACATCATATATGCATGAACCCTTAAGTTATTGTGTTAGCGCGGAATAAAGTTGCTAGAAAACTACAAATTTGATTTAATATTTATCTATGGTATTTTTCTATTTCACTGAAACGGTACTCAAGTCACCGTGTTTATATACACAAATAGTGATAGGCAAGATTGCAAAAGTTTCCGGCTCCGGAAGGCTTTAACATATCAGAATTTCGTCTGTCTCGATTTACAAAACGATTACAATACATCTTGTATATTCACTATACAGTAAAGTAAGGATTTCTAAAACGTCGAATGTTTAATACCATTACTAAATTTTTATAAACAAATCACACTTTATTTATAGTTGCATCCATGGTAGTGCATCATAGTTGTTTTTTTATTTTCCTTCTTTTTAGTGCGTAGATAAAAACTTGTTACTAAGAAGAAAAAAAACTTTGACGTTTTTTAAAAACAAACAATGTATGTATATTCTGTTGCTTTTAGCATAACCTTTTTAAAAAAAACACCTTTTGCCCTGCAGGCTGTCATATAAAAGTACATCAAGAATGTTATTTCAAGAATAAAGACACTCTTGACGAATGTAAAGGTGAGAGGTATTTTGCATCGATAGCAACAAACTCTTTAAAATATGTTTGACTTGCATGAAGCAGAAAAGAGCACACACAAAAATTCAACAATTTATTTCAGTAATTTATGATTCAAGTATTCAAGCAAAGGAAATGTTACTGCTGGCAGAGTCAGCTGAAGCACAGAAAAACTGGGTTCAACATCTAAGTAAAAAAGTATCTAAAAAAGGGATAGTCAGTACAGGAAACCTCAGGTAGATACACACGTTTGTCATGTACAGTACATGTGTGTGTTCAGTTCATTCTCATACCTCCACATCACAGTATGTAGCTCATCTAGAAATCTATGGTTGGCTCATGGCTCAAATATTTTACTTTCTACATTAGAACTGCTTACTCAGATGGTAATGTCAGGTAGGTCAATATAGGTGTTTGTATCTTTCATATATCCTCTCTGACGATTTTATTTCAATTTTACCAACACTTGTTTGTTCGTGGAGAAATTTGTCGTTGGCTTCTTTTTTTTTTCAGAGAAATTAGGTTTATTTTGAAATTTGTTAGCATACCTGTTTTAGTACTTTTTTAGCTGTGTATTAACGCATTAATACATCTTAACTAATATTAACTCTAAATGAGCAATTTTTAAAAAAAATTAGAAGACTATCAACTTCAAACAGATTAGTGCTTGAGCTAGAAAATGATGTTTTTATATCCTTTACATTGTTATTTTAGCTTAAGTATTATGGGCTAACATTTTTATTTCTTTTTTATACTTTTCCTAGTTCTGGTATCGTCATCGGCCCAGAGCAATATTTTTCTAATGGAGATCAGCAGAGGGGCCACCAACAGGATGGTAAATCTGCCATATTGCAGCCACCGAATACTCTGAAACCATTTAATTTATTCACAATATAGAAAAATCTCTGTAAATTGTTAGTACAAATTGTTAGTATCCTATATTAATATAATGCAAAAATGATACAGCCATTTCATTTTTTTAATTATTAAGTTATTCTTTGCAACCCTAAATTAACTTTGTATAAATCGGACCTAGGTAACTTATCTCACAAATAATATTTAAAAAAGGATTTGAAACATTTTTGGTAATAAGATGCTGACAATATATATATATATATATATATATATATATACATATATATACATATATATATATATATATATATATATATATATATATATATATATATATATATATATATATATATATATATATATATATATATATATATCGATCTCCGTCCACATCCACATCCACATCCACATCCACATCCACATCCACATCCACATTCACATTCACATCGACGTCGACGTTGACGTTGACGTTGACGTTCGCATTCACATTCACATTCACATTCACATTCACATTCACATTCACATTCAAATTCAAATTCAAATTCAAATTCAAATTCACATTCATATTCATATTCACATTCACAAGTCCATTCACATTCACATTCACATTTCCATTTCCTTTTCCATTTATATTTATATATATATTTATATTTATATATTACACTATATGAGTCGGCAGAAACTGTTTTGCAATTTTTACTGTGTCTGTCTGTCTGTGAAGACGATAACTGAAAGTATAGTTTCAGTTAAATTGGCGAAATTGCATATAAAATTATTATGTAAATATATCAAATGTGCACTTCTGTATCAACTTTTAAGGGATTTACGGTAAACAAAAGTGGTACTTACTCTGCTTCCGGTTTTCCAAAAGTCAATAACTTAAGTACAGTTTAAGTTGGGTGTTCGAAACTTCACATATAATTATCACTTTATATATGCATGTTTTATTTTCAAATTGTAAGCGATTTTCGATAACCGGAAATGGTACTTCATTTTTTTTATTTAATCGAAAATATAACATGAATTTATCTATCTTGATTGTTCTGTCTTTTGTCCGTTATGGGCGGTATCTTACTTGCAAAGTTTCGACATCTTCAACCGGACAGATTTCTTTCTAACTTTTCACATAGGTCAAGACTCGATGACATTACATTGTGACATAAAACGTGACTTAATTATATTGTTTAATTAAATTTTAAAAAATTAATTAATGCTTCCTTTATAAAGCACTCATTTTTAGCTCTGTTTTTTTTTTTTTGGTGTTCTATTCTTTTTTCTACGCAATTCTTCTCTACCTGCCATCGGTTCCATTTACACTTGAAATATAGGCCTATATTTTTTTTAATGTTATACTTGTTTGAGAAATATTATTTTATAAAATAGTTATTGGTCAAAAAGTAGTGTGCTTCACTACATATTGAATGATATCAGTGACTAAAAAGCAAAAAAATTATTAAATAGCTAAAAATCTGACAGATTAATATAACATAGGCATTAGAAAAATTAAAACCCAATTATATACATTTATTAGTCAACACAACGTCATATTAATTGCCCACTCTGATTAAGTGACTAAAATTCTTTCGTTAAACACTAGGCTTTGCAATGATTCTTTTTTTTTAACTAATTCTTTTTTTTTTTTTTTTGCCGAGAGAATTGTATAAATTTCATAGTGTACGTTTTGATAAGTAGATCTATAGATCTATATCAAATAGTTCATTTCTTCATATACTAAAATTGGAAGATGTTTGAATCTAATTAAATATAACATCATTAGTATTGTGTATCTTAATCGATATTTGATTTTTAAATCTATTTTTTATCCTACAATCAATGACGCCATTAGGGTTGTGTACTTTTCGTACTTTAAACTTTTATTAACATTGCTTCATTATGATATATTCCTATTAGTTTCATGTGACATCATTCGGTTACATAATTAAAGATGCTTATTTTACATCCGAATAAGCCTTTTTTTCATTTCCGTCTGTAAATAAAATTAATGTATACACTTATTAAATTTAATACATCCGACATAATATTTTCAACAAAAGTCTTATCTTTAAATTTTCTCATAGCATCGGAAAATACAGGGAAAATACGTGACAGACAGAGACAGGAGGAGAGAGAGAGATAGATACAGAGAGAGAGAGAGAAGTGCGCACATGGTCTTTTATATATTAGAATTTTAAAAATTTAACATACGAAAGAGTTTAGGGGAGATCATTCTCGCTTTACTTTTATTGTGAGCCTAATTTTTTGAAAAAGCAATGTTTTCTAAACTCAACTAACTTATTAAGTTTCACATTTGCTGCTAAATACTTGCGTGACTTAAAAGTAGCTATCGGCAAGCTTTTTAAAAGCATGTATTGATCTAAATTACCCTAACCCTGACCAGTGGCGTAGCTAACGTAAAGCTAGCGTAAGCAAGGCATAGGGGCCCAGAGCAAATAGGGGCCCTTTTCCCTCTTTAAAATTATACAACTTTTACATTGGAATTTTAATATTTAAAATATAAAATAATTTTAAAAAGAAAACGGAAATCTAGTTTCTATTCTACTGTAGAAGTAATCAAAAGTTCCAAAAAGGCCTCCAGACTTTTCTTACTGGGGAGGGATTATATACGGCCCATCGGTATTAATAACACTATAGGCATTGTTGCATTGTCGTGCAAGCCGTTTAGAGAACTAGCCTATAAATAAACTTGAACATTGACTTCTTTATGAGATTGGCATCCGGCACTCGCATTTATACGCAACGCTAAAAACTCTCTACCCCACCGCCACAAACCTGCATTCTCTTAACTCTCTGTCCTCAACGAAACTCCATTCATCCATGATTACAATTAAGCCATTTTTTTGTTAACTTCCGTGGACAGAGTTTTTACAACAAGCTAAGTCGAAAATGTGTCAATGTTTTTGCTCGTTTTATAACCTTAATAACAATTTGTTTGTTGATATAATTTATTTCTAATCAATATACCGCTAAATCTAAGTAAATCATGAGGAACTTTTTAAAATTTGTATTAAGTTAGTGGCGTCACAAGGTTCGATATCATCCGGTGCGTTTAGTGAGTGTCACCCCCACCACGTCTAACAATTTTGCATTTCCGGTGGGTGGAGTGTTATTCCATCTCCTTAATATTTTATCATTTTAACTGAATAAAACATAGTTTTGACAGTAAATTGCACGAGTTTTCGTCACGATGTCATGCCTAAATTGTGAGGCCCCTGCCCCGTAACGCTACTCTGTTAGGCCCCTTAAATGTTACAGGCTTACAGTTAGTTTGTTTTTACATAAAAGAGATCTAAAATCCAAGGTATTTTACGTTACTGGGTACTACATAATAATACCGTATAAATACACAACTAGGACGTATAAAATATATAATTTACAGATTGTCGTAGGGGCCCAATAATAATTTTTTGCATAGGGGTCCGAAAATCATAGCTACGCCACTGACCCCGACACTGACCAGGAACGTGAACGTGAACATCAACATCATATGTCAAGCAGTCTCAAAAATTTATATTTTATACATAAGGCCGCGGTCTGTCTAGATCAGTTTTCGGTCACTTTAAACTCTATTATTAAGATCGCTATTGTTTTCTTGTTAGGTTGAGATGGAATATCGCTGTTTGTGAAGAACATTACCTCTTAAACTTCTCCGCAAATACACGATCTAATTGGTGTGACAGACATCCCCCACTTCGCTTTTATAGATAAGGATGGATAATCGTAGTATTACATCATGCCTCTCATTCATTACGTAAATTTGTAACCCTTACCATGAATGAACAAAAGACCTGTGATCAATCCCCCGCTTCCTTGCAGTTACGAAAACACTATAGCGTGATATAGTGTAATATTAGACACATTACCAATAATAAATATAGTGTCATTTGAATATGAATTAAGATTTTCAGACAAATTATATGAAAACGAATTTTAAAAACGTCGGGGCTGTAACCGGATGTTGCCGATTTTTGTGTCCATTGGGGCTACAAGTGTACGAAATAATGGCTAGTCAAAACACCGCGAAATATGCTAAATTAAATGATTTGTATCAAAAGTCTTATCCTTCCAAATCAAAAATTCAACTTCAAAAAAAGTGTAATAGCCTATGGCTTAATTTAAAGAGGCAGCCAGAGGAGCAATCCACAGCAAAATTAGCTGAACTGCAGGACGTCATCAGGAAAATTTCATTAAAAAAACGTTTTAACAACAAGCTTATGTACTAATGCACTAAAAAGAAGAAAATAAATTATAGACTACTATTTAAATAAATATAAAGAAAAGCGTGGGCTACTTTAGTATTTATTGGATACCTTTACTAATGTTTAGGAAGAGACCCACGTTCTTTTATAGTTATTTAAATAGTAGTCTATAATTTATTTTCTACTTTTTAGTGCATTAGTACATAAAAACTTGCTATTAAAACGTTTTTTATGAAAAAAAATTTAGTACTTTACATGTTTTTATTTACAATAGAGTTTCAGGACTAAAAACCATTGCGCGCCTATTGAACGTAATGACGCGCTATTGGACATGATGACGCGTGTGGAGTAGTTAGATAGAAATGCCTACTAATTTGGTCAAAATTGTAATTAATTCATAAAAAATTAATTAGGTATCCAATTAAGTCAAATTGAATGTCACGATGCATTGTCTTCATGTCTTGACCCATGTTCCAACTACGAACCGTATCCGTCAGTTAGAAGTGTCTGAAATTTTGCTCGGCCGTTTCGATCTAGGCAGACAGACTGACGACAGACTGACGACAAAGGGAAGTGAGTTAAATAAAAGCTTGTAATAAATCAGTCCCGATCTTTATCATTTTGGGCCAGGCTACCCAAAAAGGATACAGGTAAGAATTTCATTTTAGGAATATAATATACTTTGGTAATAAATACTGTTTTTAATGGGATTTTTTGGTTTAATTGAAATATGAAAATTATAAAAAATTTAATTAGATCTCTTTTAAGTTTATTTTTTAATCTTGATTGTCTAGAATCAAGAGGGACCGATGAAAGTTTTGCCACTAAGCGAACTGGTAAAACTTAAGCTCCTGGTCCATCAGAGTCTGAACAAAAACCAACCACTTCTACAAGTGAGTCTGGACCATCAGTTTCAGAAGCAAAAAAAATGCACCAGCGCAAAAAAAAATTAAAAGAAAACGTCAACCTAGAAAGAGCTCGAATTGTCAAATTACAAGAGCTTAAAAACTGTAGTTTGGCGACGGCAGAAAATTGAATGTTCCAAACATTTGGTTACAAAGTGCGAACACAAGTTAAGTCGTATGCAGAAAGATGCTGAGCTTTTGAGCGACGATCAAATTTAAAATCACTCCTTAGTGATATTGGAAAGTGTCACAAGAGTCTAAAAAAGTTTGCCCGGCCGAGATGTGGGCGTCCATCTCTGAAAGAAGAACAGAGTAATCTGCATAAGACAATCATTGCAGTTGTCACCAGAGGTGCTGGAGCAGATAAAAGGCGAAGGGCGGAAGTTTAACTGGATGACTTAGCAGCTGAGCTAAAAAATCTAGATTTCACTCTAAGCGTTATACTCAGTGGCGGAACTAGAAAAAAAGGGCCACCCCGCAAAAATTAATTTTAGGCCCCCCATATATATATATATATATATATATATATATATATATATATATATATATATATATATATATATATATATATATATATATATATATATATATATATATATATAAACATAAAATACAAACATGGGATACTCGATGCTTGACTATTCGGGTTTAAAAAAAAAATTCAATTAAAACTAATTACAAAATCATGTCATGTGTGTAAGTGCTTCAGTGTGTTTTGTGAAAATCAGTTTTACTTCATCTCTGTCATAAGACCTCTTAACCTCTAGTCAGTGAAAAGAATATAAAACATGAAAGCTTTGTAAAAGTAATTGTGTCTCGTGTTATGTTTATTTTTAAGGGTTTTTTTTAGTATATTTTATTAATTTTAAATTAATTTCCTGTTTATACAATGTCGTTCTTTAGTAAGTACTTTATAAAAAATTATAATTAAGAAAAGTAATTGCTTTTTCATTTGTTTAGTACAAATCTATTTAAAGATGCTTATGGGCATCCCTATTTGACTGTTTAAAAAGGGAAATAAGTCATGGAAGTGGTTTGAACGTTTGCTTATCTTTGATAAGTTTCATTGTAGGAGAAAGAGGACTCGGCTTTCACGGCGGTTTAAAAACAAAGGGAAAAGGAATATACAAGAGCGTGGGGTGGTATAGAATAAAGATAATCCAACTGCAGCTACGGTAATCTTTTTTACAAAATAACCATCAATTAAAAAATGCTAGAAAATTAAAAAATTGTAACTAAAAAAATTTTTTTATTATGGTCGGTTGTGGGCCGCTAAATGGCGTGCCCCCCCCCCCCCGCATTGCGGGGTCTGGCGGCACTGTAGTTCCGCCACTGCATTATACTTGAGACTGATTCCTCGCAGGCTAAACACCACTTACGGCAAAAACATATCCAAACAATACCGGTAAAACTACGGCGACCGGAAAACAATGAGCGAAAGTTGCTCAACAAAGGAATACCTAAAAAGTATTTCCTCTATGTTTGGGCCACAGGCTGTGTTTGTCTTGTCAGTTGACGGTAAGGCTAAAGTCCCCATCGGTCTGGCTGCAGCCAACAAACAAGCACCACTGCAGATGTGGTTGGAATACAAAGTCAGACTTCCAGACCATGACTTTGTTATAGCTGCTAAACTATGCTAAGTCTATGCAGCTCGCACAATTAAAGCAGCATCAGAGCATCCTGAGCTTACAATAATACTCTGGGCCAACGTATATAGCCACCAGACTCTGGGCCAGCGTATATAGCCATCAGACTCTGGGCCAACGTATATAGCCATCAGACTCTGGGCCAACGTATATAGCCAACAGACTCTGGGCCAACGTATACAGCCATCAGAAGTGCTAAGCATGACAGCAACACGGCGTTTTCACATGGGAGAGGTGTAGATCAATTGCTACATCATGATTCTTTTAAAGATGTAGCTACACATGGGGCAGATGTAGATCATTTGCTACATCTTGATTCTTTTAAAAGAGGTAGCTACACACGGGACAGATGTGGATCATTTGCTACATCTTGATTCTTTTAAAGAGGTATCTACACATGGGAGAGATGTTGATCAGTTGCTACATCAGGATTCTTTTAAAGAGGTAGTTACACATGGGAGAGATATGGATCATTTGCTACATCTTGATTCTTTTAAAGAGGTAGCTACACATGAAAGAGATGTGGATCATTTGCTACATCTTAATTCTTAATTAATCTTAATTTCATCAACCTAGCTGTAACGGTACTCAAGCAATCGTGTTTACACTCAGACACACACACACACACACACACACACACAGGCATACGGACAAGATTGCAAAATTATGTTTTTCCGTATCAGTGAGGTGTAAAACGTCGAGATTTGTAAAAATCTCGATTTTTTTTGCACGATTACAATACTTTCTCTATACTTCGTATATACGAGAAAGTAAAAAAAAAAAAGTCGTACTTTTTCTACTTTGAATTTATCAAAAGCCTATAACTTGAGTACTATTTCAGGTAGATAAATGAAATTTCACATGTAAGTAAAAGATCTAATTCTCTACCTTCTGTCAAATTTTGAGTAATTTCCGTTGACCGGAAGTACTAATTTACGCTATTTCGGGTTTCTCAAAAAACGCATGTAGAATTATAAAGAACTAATAATATTTTTCTACTAGATTTTAATCTATTTTTAAAAGTTTAAGTAAACAAAAATCATGTCTATATTCCGATTTGCCATCCCACGTAGTGTTATATTAGAATATTCGAGAAAGTTTAATGGAGATCACTCCCGGTTTATTTTATTTAAAATGTTATATTGTTTGATATGTAAAATTAAATTTTAGAGAGGTTTATGAGTTACGGTTTTTGGTTGCTATATCAGCATAAAAAATCATCATAGATGCTTCCGTTTGAATATTACAGTGATGTACGAGTGGTGCTTGCGGGTTGGCTAGGACAGGGGTCGGCAACCTGTGGCTCGCGAGCTGCATGTGGCTCTTTTGACGTCCAGGTGCGCTCTCCAGCTACTTGCACAAATATTAATAGTTATATAATTTCATTTTTACTGGACGGTGGGGTACGACTTTACCCTGCGTTCAGTGGGATGGAAGATAAGCCTGGTGCAAACCAAATGATAGAAGCGTACGATATAAGTTATTCAAACCGATATCCAAGCCAGGTAGTCGGCGTTTGCCGTGCTGAGGCCTGACTGGCTAATCAGAGACTCCTCCTAAGCCGGTGCTATCGGTAAAGAAAAAATAAAACAGCTTCTAAAATGGATTGAGATAGTCCGAGAATAATTAATTATTTTACTATTCTGCTTTTCTTTCTTCTTCTTCTTCGTTCTTAATTTTTAGTGTTGGGAGGGAGCCTTATCTGCCAGAGGGTTTGAATTCGAGACTTTTTTCGAATTTATCAACCAGGAGTTTTGCCTACTCGACCATGCTTCCATCACAATTAAGGATTACGTGTCAACTGGTTATGCGCCATTGAGGCCATTGACTCCGATTTCAGCCTGCTTTTCTTTTCGGATTTGCTTCCATAGCATTTGTCCAACCAAGAACAAACTACAAGGCAGCAGTTGTTTGATTTTGGAGTTGTCTCTCCTAGAAGAGTGGCTGTCCCCAGCTAACGAGCCTCATCTGCCCGAGACTATTCTGCCAAAACATATCTATTTTTTATATGAATAAATATTATTTCATATTTAAAGCTATTTATTTTAAATAACAAACCAACTTTATTTACCTAATCCTAATCAAATACCAAAATATTGAAAAAAAAATTGTGGTTCTTTAAAAACTGGGAAATTATGTAAGTTGTAACTTTTGTAACAAAAGGTTGTCGACCCCTGGGCCAGGAGAATGAGTTAGGTGTGGGTCGGTACAGTGTTGAAATTTTTTTTCAATTCTCCTTATTTGAGCCATATAATGAAAAAAATTACTGTCAAACGACCCCCCCCCCCCTTGATATTTTGTGAGGTGGTAGAAGAACGCCTAGGGGTGTCATAAAAAACTCGGCATATCTGAGAAAACTTCATAAAGTGGTCAAAACTGACCAGTTGTATTTCCCTATATAATCTTTGTATTTTATGGGAAAAACAGAGGGTAATTTCAACAAAAATTTTAGGGCACTTACTGTCAGTACATCTGGCTAAATTTTTGCACGCACCTCTGTAAGTGGCTAGGCCTCCAGGAAGAGAGTGTCAAAACTGACCTTGACTGACCGGCACCTTGTATGAGCTATATTACGAAAAAAAACTTTTGCCGAACGATCCCCCTTGATATTTTGTCAGGTGGTAGAAGAACGCCTAGGGGTGTCAGGAAAACTTGCCATATCCGGGAAAAATCTGGAAATGGGACAAAACTGACCAGTCGTATTTCCCTATATAATCTTTGTATTTTATGGGAAAAAACAGAGGGTAATTTCAACAAAGATTTTGGGTACTTATCCTCTGTACAGCAGGCGTTTTTTGCATGCTCATCGATAAATGGTCATGCCATATCGAATAACTGTTGTTCAGACTCAAAGCCCTAGATGAGGGCTAAAAAATGACCGCGAGTGAAATTTCTCCTTATATTTATATCTATAAATAAATTGACGAACGTGCTCCCTAATATTTTGTGAGGTCGTAGGCGGAACGTGGAGGGTAACAAAAAAACATTCCCGTCGAAAGAAACCCTTGGGTTAGTTAGATTTGTCCAGATGCCGTATTTTCTTATATAAACAATAGTTGTTTTTTTTTTAAAAGTAAACAAATCCTACGTTTGGTCTATTTTCAAGGGAGATAACTTTTTAAAGCAATAATTTTAAAATAATTTTTATATTTTTTATAGAAGAAACAAAAAATTACAATGTATAGCATTTGTTTAAATATATATCGTAATAAAATAAGTTATGTATTGTAATGATATAGTAAAAATCAATCGCAAAAGTTAATTTAATATAATATTTGATTTATACTACTAAGGAAGCCTTTGTAGTTCTAATAACCTTGCGAGTAATAGGTTTGCGAATACTCCACCAATGTTTGTATTACATAAAATTACTCAGACTGTGTAATCTTAGGCTCCAAGCACTCCACATAACAGTTAATCACCAATAAATTAATCACTCAATTTCTCAAAAGTTTTGTTTAAACCTAAGCGAAGCTAGGCAGTATGCCTAGTTGAAGAAATAATATATAATTATAAAAATATATTAACCAAACTTATTGTTGAAAGTTATTCTTCAATTCTCCTTGACCCATTGTATTTTCAGTATCTGGCTGATAGAGGAGTAAATCTAAAGGCCTATCAGAAGTGCTTGTGGGATCACACCAGAGCCGACTATAAAAATAGGCAGATAACAAGTGATAGACTAATTAATTAGGTTTAAAACAGAGTCACATTAGTGAGTATAGTTATAACTCGATCTCAAATTTTGTAATGGACTTGGCAGATGCAAATTTTTCGAAGAAATCGGACCCTCTAGCAGACAAATGTTTAGCCTTATTCATTCAAATCAAACAAGCTGTTTCTGAAGGATTTAAACAAGCAAAGAAGTGGCATACCTTCTTAACCAATATGACTTATACAAATGCAAATAAAAAGCAATGCAACAAAATATTTCTCTCCAGCCAAGTAGTGAATGATGTTAGTTTTTACTTTTTAATTTGGAAATTATGAGAAGGTACATAAGAAAGCTAAACTTTTCGCCAGTTACAAAGTATCGTCAGGTAACAACTAGCTGGGGAAATGACGACCATGGGTTTTGGGAGGGAAGGGTAGGTCTGCGGGATGAGAACGAGGTGGTAGCAGGTGGGTAATGTCTTAGACCTGTGCTATTATACATAACGTTATTTCTAGGTCAGTTGCTGACACTCCAATAAAAAAATTAAATGTTGCATGCTCTCTAATTTTTAGATAATTTATTGTTGCATTGCAGGCACCACGGCTACACCTTTTTTCTATAAATATTACAGCTGCGTGACAACTATATCTACGTTATGTTTTTTTTTTACTTTAATTACTCTTTCTTTAAATTATTTAGGCCTATATAGCTGACGCTCCAGGTCAAAGGTCGTGTTTGTTTTATAAAATGTTCTGTAAGTGTGTACGCTAAAGTATACATGTTCTGTGAACAAAATGTTTCCAGATAAAAATAACTTTTGGCGGGTTTTGTGTTCTAGAAATGTGTAGTGTACATGTCGTAAGTATAAACTAGTCAACTAGTACAAGCAGTCATTTAACAAATAAATTGGTAAATTCATATTGTTTTTCAAATTTTAATTATATTAATTCTAGTTATAGTTAGGCCTATGATTATAACTACCACTGCGATAAAGGTTATATACAGGCACAAAACATTGTACAGATTGTATGTGTGTATACAGGCCTAAATATTTATATTCTTTTTATTTATTTACGTCCCTGAGATACATAATAAAAAGTTCATTTTTGTCCACTCAATGTTTTTGGTCCTAGTACATCTTGCTTTACAACATTACAACAGATACGCCATTTGTAAATTGATGAAATGAGCAACAAAAGATGTATCAAACATTTTATTCATGGAAAAAATGTCATGCCAGAAGACAACAAAGGAAGGGACAATAGGAATGTCACTTTCAATGTCTGAATATGTCTTTTTGTACTGAATGTATATAATACTACTGATGGGATACTGGGCAGTACATCAAAGAATAATTTGATAAATGGAAGGGATATAACATTGTTCATTACATGAAGTGGGTCTGGTAAACAAATATTTATACTAACAATTTAAGGAGTATTGGTTATGATGTAAAAAACAAAATAACTAAATGGTTGAATTAATAAGACTTAATCCAGTGGAACAAGCCATTTGTACAGGCTCATGAATTACGAGCGTTAGGTGGCGGCAATGTGGCAGATTTACCAGCCTGGGGGTGGCCCCTCTGCTGAGGTCCATAAGAAGAATATTGCTTTGTGCCCCTGACAGTACCAGTACTGGGAAAAATAAACAACAGAAATAAAAATGTTAGCCCACAACACATAAGCCAATATATTGCTGGATCCTCCCCTTGTCACAACCAAATAAAACAGTAACCAAAATATAAGGTCTAAACCAGCTATAAATAGTGATTTGTTAATGTTAATATAATAACAAAGGTAAAAATGTTAATTCAGAGTTAAACATTAGTAAAAAATATATTGAATGTAAAACGTATGAAAGATTAATAAATTACTTAATACCAATAAATTGAACAAATTGAAAAAAAAAAATTTAAACTTAGCCTACTTCTCCCATTGGCAAATAAATTACAAGCATTGAAGTATGGAAAGATGAAGAAAAGTTGTTGAGCAAATAATTTTTACATGTAGTTTGTGAGTCACCTCCAGTAGATTATTATTTTTTTTCATTTTTCATTTAAAATCAATTTTTTTCGCAACTAATTTGTTTCCACTCACTGTAGTTTGCTTGTCTAAACAAAGCAAAACAACAATAAATACAACAACTATTTTTTGCTAACAAGAAGTGTTTGACTGCAAAAAAGCAAAGATTTGATCACACTAATATACTTAAAACTACACTATAAAACTGTTTATATCAACAGATTAATTACTTAAAGGTAGCAAAAAAACCAGGGCTAAAATCACATTGTACTTATCAAGAACACTGAAGGTAAAAAATAAAATAAACCAATAAGGAAGAGGACACCTATGTTGACCTACCTGACATTACCATCTGAGTAAGCAGTTCTAATGTAGAAAGTAAAATATTTGAGCCATGAGCCAACCATAGATTTCTGGATGAGCTACATGCTGTGATATGGAGGTATGAGAATGAACACACACATGTACTGTACATGACAAACTTGTGTATCTACCTGAGGTTTCCTGAACTGACTATATCATTTTTAGATACTTTTTTACTAAGATGTTGAACCCAGTTTTTCTGTTTCTCAGTTGACTCTGCCAGCAGTAACATTTCCTTTGCCAGAATATTTGAATCGTAATTTACTGAAAATAAAGGGTTGAAGATGTGAATTTTTATCTGATCAAAGCAAGTTAAATGTCTATTTTATGTATTACATAGTAAACAAAGCAAGGCTCACCTTTACAGTAGGGTAGAAACTCTTCATTCTTGTCATAGTGGTCTCGATGTACTTTTACATGGCAACCTGGTAAAAAAACATATTTAAAATACTTGGCTCTTTAAAATTATAGTCTTGTAATATTTGGGGTGTTTGGTCAGGTGGTAGGGGCTCTTTAAAATTATAGTCTTGTAATATTTGGAGTGGCATGGTCAGGTGGTAGGGAGCTCAATAGCTAGACGGAAGGTCTAGAGTTGGGATCTTAGTCCACACTCAAAACTGCAGGTCATCCACCCAGCTCTGATAGGGACCTGACTAACAATAGGGAAAGTGCTGGCCACAACATGTCAAGAGACCTGGATTCTACTTCATCTTCCCTACTTATTATAGATGTACGTCATTTCCAAGGATTTTAAAAAATTATTTGTATGATAAGAAAAGCACATTACGAGAAATATAGAGCACTTACGTTTACACTCTAAGGCTGGAGGTGGGTGAATCATATGCCAGACAATTTTATGGCACGAGCCACAGGAAGTTGGTGTACGAAAGCTTATTGGAACTAAATCATGACCTTTATAGATGATAACACCTGAGCGATCTAAAGGAGCAATTGCACTTTCTTGATTAACCTCGTCTGGTTTTCTGTTCTCACCTTCACTTGCATATAAAATCTATAAACAGGTTTAAAAACAAGTAAATTTAAAAAGGGATTTAATTTTTGTATTCTAAAATATACTTGTATTTATGATACCATTATAGTGAAACCACTATGAATGTGTAGACATTGTTATCTGATTAGGCTTGTACAAGATTTCAAGTTATATTAAACAAATTACCTGAAAAATTCTAGGAATATCTTTGGCGTCTGCCCTGTACACATCTCCCTGTGTCACTGGTCGAACATGGAAGAGTTTGCTGCAGGGGAAAATTTTAACCAGCAATAATTTTAAGATAATGTATGCTTTTATTTGCTGGTTTTATTTAATATAGTACTCAATTCAAAATTATTTTTTTAAAAAACACCTGCTTATAAGTAACTGAAAAGCATGATATAACCCAAACTGTATGTAATGGTTTGTTGATCGGTTAGTTACCGATAGAGTTTAGAGAGAATGGTGATAGTTGTTTTTTTCTCACTTCCGTGCATCCTCGTTGCTACAATGCGGTTTAACAGACCTGAGCAAACTAATATGTACACACTGACACATTAACATTAAACTAAAAATATTTTTTTTAAACAAACAGTTCATTAGATGTATTAACATTCGTTAGACATCACAAAGGTTTATTATGTTAAAAGCCACAAAAAAACAATACAATTGTCTTCCCATATTCAATAAAACATCACTTGAATATTTAATAAGACAAAAGACAAAATAATCAAACTTACGTTTCAAGGCGGAATTATTCTCCTTGATTACTGACATTAATTCATAGAATATATATATATATATATATATATATATATATATATATATATATATATATATATATATATATATATATAAGTGTGAGTAGCACACCAGTGTGTACACAACTCAGAATTCACACAGGTATATGTCATCATCCCAAGTCCTATCTTCCTTACTTGCACTGATATGTAATCTCAAAATCACACATATAAATGTTAGCATCCCTGTTACTTAACTTCACTAGTTCAAACACGGTTAAATCCTTTCAATACATACTCAGTGGTACTCCAAAGATCTAGCTCAACAAACAAGCGGCAAGAAGATTTCCAGCCACGGGAAAACATCAACCTCTGGTACAAACACCGGGCCACATGTATAAACATCCGGTCAGGCCACAGAAATAAATTTACACGAACAAGACGTTTGTCGAGTGGTACAAACATCCGCCACATATTGGCGTAGCGAGGTCGGGTGTCATCCGGTGCGGCATTTAATGGTGTCACCCCCAGCAGACTCTTCCCGGGGACAAACTTTCAATTTTCGATTTGCACCCCCCCCCCCCCCCCCCCCAAACTTTCGATTTGCACCCCCCTCAAATTTTTCTCTATATATTTTACTATTTCTTGCCTTGGTGTCACCCCCCTAAAAGTGTCACCCGATGCGGTCCGCCCCCCCCCCCTCGCTACGCCTCTGCCGCCACATACATATATAAACATCAGGTCACAGATGTAAATATCTGGAACGAAGCACATATCTACAGGAAAAAAACATCGGCTGGGCCAATAAGCCAGCCTTCGCGGCCAGCCTTAAGGCTGCCACCATTCAAGGCCTAGATCGTAATATCTGGCCCCAAATATGCGTGTGTGTGCTCACCATAGCCACCCTTCTTCATATGTATGCTAGTCTTGCCCACCCCTTATCATCTCCAAAACCCATAGGATCACAAGTCGCGTACTCGACGTTCGAGATAACGCCGCTCTTTATGCACTCTTGCGTTTCACATCCGATAATTGACCGTTGTAGATCTTCAGTCTCATGTCTAACTATCGTGTCATGTGCCGCCCGAGCTAACGTATGACCACACAGCACTCCCACCGCGTATCCCACCTGACAATGAGTAATGATTCTATCGTGACGTGCAGCGGCATTTCCGAACTCAACGTTAGACATGAATCACCGCGGGTGTCTTCCCATCATTACCTGACACTCATGCTCGAAGCCCCTAACGACCAGCGTGAGCTGATAACATTTAATTAAATTTTACATTTCCCCTGACCTGCTCATTCCCAATATCTTGGATTAACCCCTTGTGTTTTTGTAACTAGCACCTCTCCTAAGCCCCTTTAACGAACAACCAAGTAACAATTTTAATTAAAAATAAACAATACAGTACAAGGCAACATATATTTAAAGAATGACCAGCTGATTACTTACTCTATATCTAATACCATTATTGGATCTGTATTTTGTTTATCATTTTCTGTGTTGAAGAAGAGAACTTTACGACTGCTGACAACCACATACTGCTTCTTCCAGCCATACTTCTTTATGTTGTTGCGGTTGGGTACTGCCAGCCACCCCTCCATGTGGGAATCTGATGACACTGGTGAATGAAGAAGTTGTGTATTTAGATATCCTATATTAATAAACTGGGAGTGACCTAAACTTTCTCGAATATTCTTATATAAAAGAACAATGGATGGGAACTCGGGATATAGATTTTTAATCCATTTTAAATACTTAAACTTTTAAAAATAGAATAGAATCTCATAGAAAAATGAATTGCGCACCAAGCGAACGCCAAAACAAAATGTGCATAATAGTGCGGAATATTATTAGTACTTTATAAATTTACATACGTTTTTTGAGAAATCGGAAATAGCGTAAATTACTACTTGAGTACCGTTACAGCTAGGTTGTTGAAATTTCATATATAAGTATTATATCAAAATCGTAGATCCGTATCAACTTTTGAGCAATTTCCAATAATGGAAGTGGAACTTTTTCTACTTTGAATTTTTCAAAAGCGAATAACTTGAGTACTATTTCAGAAAAATAAATGAAATTGTAAGTAAAATATCTAATTCTCTGCCTTCTGCCAAATTTTGAATAATTTCCGTTGAATGGAAGTAGTAATTTTCGCTTTTTCCGATTTCTTAAAAAACGCATATGAATTTAGAAAGTCCCAATAATATTCCGAACTATAATACACATTTTGTTTTGCGTTCACTTAGTGTGCAATTTTTTTTTCTACAAGATTCTATTCTGTTTTATAAAGTTTAAGTAATTAAAAATTGATTAAAACTCATGTCTATTTCCCGAGTTGCCATCCCCTGTTGTTTTATATTAGACTATTCGAGAAAGTTTAGGGGAGATCACTCCCGGTTTAATTATATACAACTTTATATTCAATTATAAACTATTTAACTAATTCTACGCTTTTAAAAATTAAGGTAAATGGGGTCCTCCCTACCTCCTAAATCCTCTGACACAGTTTTGCTGTCATCGGTATCGCAACTGTAAAATGATGCAGTGTCTGAGTAGAAAAATGCTAGTTTCTGCCTAAGCTGCTCTAGTTCTGAGTCTTTAGCATCTATTTCTATCTGAAGTCTTTGCCTAGCTTGGTTTTCTTGATATACAGACTGCAGAGCTTCTATAGCATCCCTCTGCATTTTCTCTACCATTTTATTACATTTTTCACGCTCCTATGAATAATAAAAGTTCACCAATCAGAATTTTATATGTTAAGCAATTTTTTACTCGATAAAACTAAAAGTACAATCTATGATATAAGCCGCTAGTCTATAAATATAAGCAGTGTTTTTTCCAGGCATTGAGTATTGTGTGTATTGAGTACCTAAAAATCTGTTTTAATGCTTTTATGCTAAATCTATGCTTCTATGCTATGCTCTTCTAGGCTATAATTTACAATGATAAACGCGATTCTGGCGATCACCTCAATTGTAAATTTGACATTTGATTTAGATCTAGAAATCTACTTATCAAGAAATACGCTATGAAGTTTAAACAATTTTCTCGATCAAAGATAATAAAAATAAAAATTAATTTTTAAAAAGTTGTTGTGTGATGGAGTATGTAGTGTTGGTGGTGCGTTGAAAATGGAGTGTATGTGTGAGATGAATTATTAGATGTGGAGGGCGAGTGTAGTGAAGTGATGTGTGTGGGTTATGCTGTGTAGTACATTGAAATGTTGGTCGCGGGTTGTATTTTATGATATAGTTTATCAGGTGGAGTATGTTGGTGTGGGAAGGGGTATGTTGTGTATTATTGAGGTTAGCGTGTGTGGTTAAGCTTGGTACGGTGTATGGTTCGTGGTTTTATGCGGGTGATGGTGAGATATTTAATTTCCCATTCTGTAATTCGCTTCCTGGTCTTCATTTTAAGTTTGCAGTTAACATTTATTTTACAAGATTTTAAAAAGAGATGTTTTTTGTGCCTGTTTTTTTTTTCTATCCTCTGAAAAGTATTATTTAAATTTCCCACCAGTGGCGAAGTACCGGTATGCAGCTAGTCTAATTATTAAAGTTCAAATGGCTTTTGTTTCTCTGTATATGTGTGGCGGACTTATGGGTGACACGCTTATAGTAAAGAAAACTCGACTTGATCGTCATTGTATAATAATTTAAAACTGTTAATTTTTTTTACTAAAATCTAAATTGTTGCCTAGAAACTCAATATTGATCATTACAATTTTCAAAACAAATTTTCATTTTATAATTCAACATTTTAATTGACGTAAATCACAATAAAAATAACTATAATACCCTTTACAAAAAATATATTTTTTTTCTGAAAAAAAAAAATACAAATTACATTTTTTTTGTACCAATTACTTCACATGATAGATGACTTACTAAAATTAAATCAGAAAAAAAACTTCCTTTTAGTTTGTTTTGTTGTTGGAAACAAATTATATAATTTACATGGATTGATATAAAGCACTGTGGTATATAAAAGACATGTATTTTAATTACTACCTTTCATTTATTTTATACACCGAATGTACTGTCAGATAGTGCGACGTCACACTTTTGCATTATACAAAAAGGAATGTTAGAAAACTAATTTTAGACGTTATTTCGCGTTTCTAAAACTGTTTTAATAAATTGTAATAGGAATTGATTAAAATACTCTATTTTGATAGAGTTCAGACGAGATTTTAGAAAAATATCGATGTTTAAAAAAAATTCAACTGCAATTTTGAGGGGGTGGGGTTGAAAGCTGAGGTGTGACGTCATTTTAGTGGGGGGGGGGGGGGCGGGGGGTTCTGGCATTTTGTTACGACGTGTGACGGAGGGGATGGGGAGAGGTAAAAATCGTCCAAAAAAAAGCGTGACGTCATTTACGGATGACCCCTTTACAATAGCATTATGTCTAAATAAAAATAGGATTTCATATGACGCGTAAATGCAGATATTTTTTTGCTTACTCTGTTTTACAAAACTTTCTCCATTTTAAATTAAATTGAAAAAAATACCATTAATTACTATGTCCTTTGTAAACACATATGTTAACAATTTTGTTTTATGCTGTATTTTTACTTTCTCGTACGGAGGAAGTATTGTAATTGTGCAAAAAAATCACAAGTTTTGATAGTTTTATCGTTTTACACATCAATACTTCATCATATACTGAGTATAGGGGACTTATATTAATCAGGTAAAAATTATAAATGCAGATTTTTCAAAATTTCGGGAAAACTGGGTTTTGCAATTCTGTCCGTTTGTCTGTGTGTGTGGATGTAAGTAGTATATTAGGTCCCTTTTGGGTCGTATGGGTGAGGCGGATGCGGATGCGGAGCAAAGGTTATATAGTAAAATACTCACCAAACTGGGTGAGGCGAAGGTACAATGAGATATAGTAAAATACTCACCCACCTGGGTTAGGTGGGTGAGCAGGTGGGTGAGGGGGAGTAGGTCAGTAGGTCATTAGGGCAGGTGAGGGGGTGACCTTGTGACGTAATCACCACCGGTGACCTAGTTACTTAAATTGTTTTTAATGAGTTTTTAATAAGTTTTTTATTTTATTTTTTTAATTAGTTTTTAATGAGTTTGTTTTAATTAGTTTGTTTTTAATTATTTTTTAATTAGTTTGAATTTTTTATTTTTAATTATTTTTTTATTACTTTTTAATTAGTTTAATTTTATTTTTTAATTTTTATTTTTTAATTTTTATTATTTTTTAATTTTAATAAATTTTAATTAATTTTAATTTGTTTTAATTTGTTTGGTTTGTTTGTTTGATTGTTTGTATGTTTAAAAATATCAAGTAACGCTAACGTGTACAAAAATAGAAGTTCTTTGTGTAGGTCCCAACAACCATTAACGACATCTGGTACACATTAACGCAAACGTCAAAGATTTTCGACCTCCAGCGAAGTTTTCCGAGGTTGAGTTTTTTGACAGGTGCCGCGCAGTGATGAATGTCTTTTCTCGCTCGGCTTGATAGCCGACCATGTTTATGACCGCAGGTGCGGGTTCACACCGTGTATTGGTACGGGAGCACGTCTCTGGAATTTCGCTTGTCTTACACGAAGGGGAAGTAGAATGTCTTTGTCGGGTAAACGTAATGACTTTACCATTCCGACAGGGTTGGGTGAAGGGGGAGCAAGTGGGCGAAGGGGGAAATACTCCAACACCTCGGTGAGGTGGGTGAGCAGGTGGGTGAAGGTGGAACAGGAGCAAAGGATATATAGTAAAATAGGTTTCTTGTATAAGGTGTATTACTAGAATCAAAATCAACCATTTAAAACGATGGATCCGAGATGGAAACATCCCTTTACGGCTCTGATCGCTGGACCTACTGGGAGTGGTAAAACGGTATTTGTTAAAACGTTTTTATCCCAGGTGTCAGGGATGATGAATCCTGCACCTGAGGAAATTTATTATTGTTACGGGGAGTGGCAGCCTTTGTTTGATACCATGAAGAACGTTCAGTTTGTGGAAGGTCTTCCTGACTTAGAAAATGGATCAATGGGTGATGGAAAACGTCGACGTCTAGTCGTCATCGATGATTTGATGGCGGAAACAGAGGAGCGAATTACAAAATTGTTTACGAAAGGGAGTCACGATCGTAATATTAGTGTCATGTATATTGTCCAAAACCTATTCGGAAAAAATAAAGAACAAAGAACCATCAGTCTCAATTTACCTTTACATCGTGTTGTTCAAGAACCCTAGAGACGGTTCACAAATTACAAATTTGGCAAAACAAATGTACCCAGGTCGCGTTTCGTATGTCCAGGAAAGTTTTAAAGGAAAGTTTGTTGATCGACCTTCGACAGGAAACACCGGGTAATCTGAGATTACGCAGTTGTATCTTTTCTTACGAGCAGCAAGTTGTTTACGTGCCAAAATAAAGCAACCATGTCTGAGTCGTTAAAACGACAAGGTGAAATGTTAAGGTTTTTGGCTCGGGCAAAACCACCCGCCGTGAAAGCAGTTGTCGAAAATGCTTCGCCACAACTCGTAAAAACGTTATGCGAGTGCTGTCACAATGTCTTAAAAGGCAACGTTCTCCTCACACCGGCTCAGAAGAGACGTTTGCGTCGTCACAAAGTGAACTTGAGACAACTTACCAAAAAGAAATTAACCGTCAAAAGACGAAAGCAAATTTTACAGACCGGCGGTTTCATAGGTGCGTTACTCGGACCAGTCCTTGGTGTGCTTAAATGTGTCTTGGGATTTTAAGGATGGCCCGGAAAATGCTTTTAATGGATCCTAGTATATTAGAGTCTATGCAACAAAAACCCTATGTAGCACCCGACACACTCAACGATAGTCTACGCCACTTGGATATGCAACTGGAACATATCTTAAATAGGGAAGATTTGTCACCACATGACAAAGTGAAACAATATCAAAAGACACTACAGCTCCACACGACACGACTTAGTGATTATAGAATCCTAGGATTAGTCGATGTGAAACCACCCACCGTGAATACCCCAACGACCGAGGTTGAAAAACCACAAGAAAACATAACGAAACCTAAAAAACAAACGATAGACATAAAAGACTCTGAAACTAAAACAAAATTCGTCTCGCCTGACTCTAAAATTCACCCATCTAAGAAAAAGAAGACACACGTAGAAAAAACACCACCCTCGAAACGTACCAGAAGTAAGAAAACTAAAACAAGCACTATCAAATGGGACGAGTGGGAAAAAACCAAATACTAAAAAGACATTACTATGATCCTAGTAGACCAGGTGCCTACGGCGGTGTGTTTAAGCACCCTGAAATTGGAAGTAAAAAAAATTAAAGAATGGCTAAGTCATCAGGATACCTACACGTTACATAAACCCCTTCGGTGACGCTTTCAGAGGCGCACCACCATCACCGGTGGGATAAATCAGCAGTTTCAAGCTGATCTCATAGATATGCGCATGTTACGAAAGGAAAATAACGGTGTTTCTTACCTAGTGACCTGCATCGATGTGTTTAGCAAATTCGCCTGGGCGATTCCGATAAAGAAATAAACAGGTTAGGCTCTAGTGGAGGCCGTACGTAAAATATTTACGACTAGAAAACCTATAAATTTTCAAACAACCAAAGGTAATGAATTTGTCAACAAGACATTTTTAAAGTTTCTTAAAACGGAAGGCGTCCATTTCTTTACCAGTGAGAATTAAGATATTAAGGCGGCTATATTTGAGAGATTCAATCGCACATTAAAAGAAAAA